CTAGGTGTTGCCTAGGTGATGGATTTTTTTTAAGTAAAAAGCATATATCCGAGGGTAGTTCCCTAGGTCCCATAACCATATTTCCTTAATAACTATCCATAATTTTCATAACAAAAGTATAAACCTCATGTTAAAGTATAGAAAATCAACATATTCATGACAAGAAAAAGAAAGAAGAGAATTCAAAAATTATAGGGGCTGAACCCCTATTTTTATTAGATAAAATTTTAAGTGCTTCCCTTCTTTCACAACAGCAGCTAATAGTAACTTCAGCCTCAACCAACCTATACAATCTTGGGAATAACTCATTCAGCTTGCCTATCCCGCACCAATCATCCTCCCAACACCTAATTCTTGAGCCACCTACTGAAAAAACTTGTTAGACTTCTAAACTCCCTATTAAATCTCATAATCCCTTTCTACACACTCACCCCATATAAAGACCTCACCTCTCTAGGTTCCCAACCAAACCTTACCATCCCATACTTCCCCACCACCACCCTCCACAATGATTCTTCATCTCTCCGTAACCACTTTCCCATCGATGCCCTGTTAAAAACTCTCACTTTTCTAAACCTCAATCCTCCCTTCTTGGGTTTACAGACCTTGTCCCATTTCACAAAATGAAATTTATTTCCCCACACCCTCCCATAAGCAATCCCTCTGTACCTTCTCAATTCTTTCAGCTATTTGAGTTGGGATCTTCAACAAAGACATATAATAGGTTGGTAAACTTGAAAAGACTTCTAATTAAAGTTATTCTCCCTCCCCCTCCCAAACAAGAGATATTTTGTTTTCCATTCATCCAGCCTTCTTTCGACCCTCTCCAAAATTGGTCTCCACAATGCACCTGAATTTGGTACCCCCCCCCCCTCTATTGGCATTCCCAAGTAAGTGAAAGGGAGTTCACCAATTCAGAATTCGAAAGCATTGGCACAAGCCAACGGAACTTCCCTTTCAATATCTCCAACTCCATTCAACACACTCCTTGAGAGTTTAACCTTCAAACCTTTTAACAGTTAAAATTTTGCCAAGACTGCCCTCAAATTTACCATTTCATCCTTGGTGAGTTGATATTTAAAACTAATAGGTGATTTTTGTGGAATACATCCAGGGGGTGGAAAAGGCTACCAACTCCCATAAGATCTTTTTGTGGGCAGAAATTTCATAGATGGGCATAAAGTAGCCTCCATTCCACAGGTGGTTGGGATCTGGAATAATGGAAGCAAGTTTACGGTTTGGTATTGTCTTAATGTTTGTGGGGAATTGACAAGCAAGGTGAAGCAACGGTTAAAGTAGATGAACCTTATAATAAGGTTGTTGTCACATGTGTGAGTTTTGGAAGAGAGGCATCAGATACAAGTCGCTCAGATGGAGTTCAGGGTTTTCTGATGTGATTGATTAGTTTCCCAACTTAATGCAATTTAAACAACATCGTTGTGGAAGGGGGCTGTCAAGTTGTTATCTCTTGGCTTTTTTCAGGCACTGTGTTAGAGAATGCTTTCTCTTGGAAATCAAATTAACTGCTCATTCAGAAGGATTCTTAGAAGTTCTAATGAGATGGCTGATCAGCTTGCCAAGGATGTGGCTTTAAAAGAAAGCTTAGAGTTGGATCCTTTTTACTTTGGTAATAAAAGAACAAAATAATTATTAAAATGAAAAAAGAAAATATAAAGGAAGGTGACCAGCAGTTACCTGAGAGAAGAGTTACCTACAACTCCAACAAACAAGACACAAACTCAAAAAAAAAAGCCATAAACAACTACGAAAACACAAGAAAAAACCACTGAAGATACAACCACCCCCATTACACACACAAACAACAACCTTCAACTACAAAACAAAAAGACTCAATTCTATATGAACTTAAATAGGAAACTCTTTGCTTCTTCTACTAATTTTCTTTGACTTCTTCACCTTCTTAATAGGTCCAATTCCAAACAAACCCCCTTTCAATCTTGTAAACAACTTTGATACTTCGATTGTTTTTAGGAATTTTTTGAATATTGAATCTTCTAACCGCATTAGGCTGCTTCTTCAAAACCCTCGAAGATTTTTGACCATAAATTCTTTCCAACTCCAACACCACATTTCTATCCAAAAAACATGCCCACCACTGAATTGTCCTTTCCTCTGCAATTCATCCCATCTCCTTAAGGCTGACTTAACTTTTCTTGTTCAATCTCTGAACTTTTTTTTTTTATAATTGAAAGAAACTTATTAATCAGCAATGGAAAATAGTACAATGTCCCCAAAGAGAGGTCAAGGCGCAAGGTGCAAAAAAGGCGCAGGGGTCAATGTGCGCCTGCAGTCGGCATATTCCCCAATAAACACTACCAGCACTATGTGGAGTACAAGAGATAGTTTCCACGACATACATATCCCCTAGTGAACACTACCAACATTATGTGGAGTACAAGAGATAGTTTCCATGACATACATATTCCCCAGTGAACACTACCAGCAGGTCCAGTACTATATGGAGTACAAGAGAGAGTATTATAACATAAATTGGTGATACTATTGTAGATATGTGAAGTACCAATATCCTCTAAACCTCATAAAAGAATTTGGATATTGACTCCGATTGGCTCCTTCTCTTGTGCCTCTTTCTTCAAGTCCCTTTGTTCCACACCTTCCTACCAGGTTTTCCCTCTTAAACAAATCTGGTCAAGGCCTATCCCTCCTAAAGTAGTTGTTTTCTGTTGGGAAGCTTATTATGGCAAGATCAATACTTTGGATGACATGCAAATGAAGAAACCTTGTGTCTGTCCCCAAACTGGTATATTTTGTATTAAGTGAAGTGTGAGGACTGTCACCACTTGCTAATTTTTTGTTCTTTTGCTGCTATTATTTGGAATTGAGTCTTTATGTTGTTTGGGTGCAAATGGAACTTTCCCTCTGAAGTAAACCTGCTTTTTGATCCGTCTACCTTTGGGCGACTGACAAAGAGAGGGAAACTAATGTGGAGGTGCATCAGAGCAATTTTTTTGTGAACCATTTGGGAGGAGAGGAATGTCAGAATATTTCAAGAAAAGGAAAGAAGCCTTGCTAAAGTAAAGGAGTGCATATTGACAAGGACAATTTTCTAGCTGAAAACTTCAGACCTTTTTTGTGAATTATTCTTTTGTTGATCTTCGGAGAAGTTGGGCAGAAGTGGCGTCTACAACTTGCAAAAAGAAGAGATTACAAGCAGATTGGAGACCCCCCCCCCTTGGAGGGAGTGATAAAGATCAACTTTGATGGGAGCAGTCAAGGCAATCTAGGGCCCTTCGGTATAGGAGGGATTTTGAGAGATGAGGATAGCAACATCCTATCTTATTTTCCGGACCAATGGAAGTTGGTGACTCTACAAGGACTGAGATACTAGCAGTGGTACAAGGAATACAGGTTGCTAACCATCTTGGAGTGGAGAACTTGATAGTTGAAGGGGAATCTAAGGTGGTAGTGGGTTGGATGTCGGATCTAGAAACAGTCTTTTTGGGCTATAGGGATCTTCTCAAGAAAGTTAATTGGCTTACAAGGAACATGTCAGTTAGATTTCACTGGGTTAGCAGATTGGCAAATGCTATGGCTGATTCTTTGGCTAAACAAGGGGTATCAAGGGGTGAATTGTCTTGGGCTACCTTATAATTATAATTCTGTTTAGAGTGTGATCATATTCTCATTTCTAAGGGGAGGTATTGTGCCTTCTCTTAGGGTGATTGTAGAATATTACAATTCTAAATAAAACTGCCACGCGTTTATCAAAAAAACAAAAAAAAAACAACAATATTATTGCCTGCCTAACTAATATGGTTACCACTTTGAGCTAGCTCAATGTTCATTTCAAGCATGAAGTTAAATATTAGTTTTCCTTTGTGTAATAGATTATTTGGTTGATCTATTACAACCACTTACATTTTCTATGAGTTTAAATTTTTCCTTAACTCATTTTATCATGAAACCTTGAATCATAAGGTTTACAAGGCAACTTCTGAATGCATTCTTTTGTCTATAACCTTAGTTTCTTAGCTTTGTTTAGTGATTAGGAACAAGATAATAATTTAAAAGGGTGTGCCTATGCTTCCTCTATCATTTCATAAAATATCAATCTATATTTTCTTATGATGTTTCCACCATGTCTATAATTTTTACATTCTATATGATATTTTCGATATTTCTGACATTTCCGACATGTTTCTTATATTTGGATGACCGACATTTCCACTAACACCAACATTTTAAACCTTGGGTTCACTACTGTACATGCATTGAATATGCTAGCTGTTCTCAACAAAGTCTTTAAGCTTTTTTATATTTAATAAAATTTTCTGATCAGTTAACCATCTAAAAATACAAATTGTTTAATTTGTTATGTGCAAACATTTCAAGTTCCAAGGAAATATCTGGAAGGTTTCATCATTTTTCTAATCAATTGCCAACAATCACAAGGCAAAGAAAATGCTCAAAGCACATTTTTACATGAAATTAAGAAAAATATGATTGGATTGGTTCATCTTTAAACCTTTGAATCAAAACTCTAACTGGGCTTTTCAGAACACACATTAATACTAAAGTAGTTCACATAGCACATTATTAATGTGCTCCAAATGTTAGGGACTTTAAAAAATCAGGACTCCTATATTCCTACAATCCCACTGCAGCACCTGTTATACTTCCCATTCAACATTCTACTTACTTGGGGTTGAACCCCATATTGCTGGGCTCCAAGAAGGAATGTTAGTTGAGTTCCATTATCCCAGGCTAGGCTTCTTTTCCATATTTTGTTTCCATGGGGTCTTCTGGTGACCCTTTGTTCTTTAGAGAGCTCAAAAGCTTTCTACCTTTTCCCTTTCTGTTAATGAAATATTTCCAATTATAAATAAATAAACAAATAGCCAAAGAAACTATTACCAAGATGCTTAAATTATCTATATAAAATCAAATGGATGTCATAAATTTCTTGATTAACTACTTATGGTATCAAAACCATGTCAAAACTGACAAATTTGAGTTACCTTTACGATAGCTATTGCAGCAGAAACAGGATCCCTAATTCCTAGAACAGTCCAAACAAGTGAGTTATCAGAACCTGCCGGAATAATGCCAATTGGAACTGAAATTGCCTCTTTCTGGTTTTCTCTACTAAGTAGACCATTCAGAACCTACAAAATTTAAATGAACTTTGAGAAAGTGCGACTTGAATTAGAAATTTTCAGCCAAAGGATAATCCACTGTAATTCACAATATGAATCTGAAAAAGAAAGTAGAATATATAATGAATGAGCATTTACTTTAAAGACTTAAAAGGATTAACATTGTTGTAAATTCTTTCTTTTCAAGGGAAATTTTTAAAACTAGTAGTGCTCAATTCTTATACCACAAGCTAAAGTAACTTAACATAGCTTTCATAGATTTGCTATGCCATAAATTACAAGGAAACAAATGGTTAATAATGCATAATAAACCCCCTAGTGCCATAACAGGGGAAGAGTATTTAGCCCATGCATGTCAGCCACCACCTAGTGCCATAACATGTCCTAATCCAAAGAGAACCTCCAAAACCATTTACCTAACAAAGCAGCATTGCTGAGTTTGATGTTGTGCAATCCCAACCCCCCTTAGCTTTTGCTCTTGCATACGATCTCCCTTTTTTTGATAAATAACAATCAATTATATTAATTATAAACAGCAATAATATATAAAGTTTACATAGACCTTTTAGAGATGATTAACCATCACCACCTCCTCCCCTTACATTATCTTACAATCTCCCATCTCACTAAATGATCCTTCTTTGACTCATCTAGCTCCCAAAGAAAGTCCCTCATAAGTTTTTTTTGTCTTTATGCAACTGCTACCAGGATTTTAAAAGCCAAGACGAAATAGATGGGCAGGCTAGATAGAGTGGAATTGATTAGAGTAATTCCACTCCCCATACATACATAATTCCTCTTCTAACATGCCAATTTCTTAGAAAATCTTTCTGCTACCAAATTTCAGAAGTGAATTGATCTATGGTTGCCACCTACAGGGAGACCAAAGTACTTCAAATGCCATTGACCAACCGCATGCCCCAAAATGGAGGCATATAGATCTATCTGCCCCTCATCCAAATTAACACCTACAAAGCAGCTCTTTGATAGATTTTCTCTGTTCTGTTTTTTCCTCCTCTAACATCCTCTTTTCTCATTCCTCCAGCATCTCAAACACTTTTACGGCTGAGACATCTCCTCCTATATAAAACACCCCAATGGCCTTTCCAATCTCCATCATTTTATTAATCAACTTGTTCATGTCCAGTTTTTTTCCAATCTCCTAACCTCATTTAATCTCACTACTCCATCCACCACCACCACCCTTCACCTCTTCCTCCACATCCCTACCTCTATCGGAAACCTCTTTGAGGCTATTTAATGAATCAATCCTACTATCAACTTTAGGCTGATTGCAGAACATCAAACCCTGAGACACTTTCCAAAATCCATTCTTGACAGCCCTCTAACACTTGTCCAAATTACCATAATTTTTTGAACAACACATGTTATCCCTTAAAATCCTCCTCTTATACATCCTTATGAAAGTTCTTACAAGGGCCAGCACCATATAAACCACCTTTCTGGAGAGAGAAAATTTTAATAATATGCACTAAGCTCTGATTCTTCTGACCCTTAAAACATTGTAGACTAGTGTTATAATCCTTCATAACAGAAGCTTCAGACAAATTCTCTAGTGGAACCCCAGGACCACCATTCCTACAACTCAAATCAACCCCCACACACCCAACCAAAATATCAAAGCCACCAATAGGTCAACTAGTCCTATCAGCTAAATTCTTTTTTCCCCCTACAAAAGCATCGAAGGGAAAGATCAGTTCTGCCTTATCTTTCTCAATATCCAAATCAAAGGTTGGCACAACCATACAACAGAAAGATCCTTCTTTTTCCATTTCCACAGTTGAACGGCTTTGATCTTCATAGCATTCCTTCTGCAAATCCACAGTATCATCTTGAACACACCCTTCTTTGCATGCACTTCATCTTCTTTTCAAACTTGATTTTGGTACAAGTCAATGACTTCCAGGAATTCAGATTGAGCTAGTATGTCGTTCTCCAAAGACAAGCACTCTGATTCACAATCCATGCCACCTGATCCCTTACTATTATTTGTTATTTGACAAATTAGGTTGACCTCTCAACACTTATTCTCCAATAAATTTCTTAGAACAGTCTTCCTACCACTACCTTTATTCAGATTTGCCTTCTCTTCCAGACAAAAGTTTTTTTATTGGTAACAATGTAATTTATTCATTAAGAATATATGTATAGAAATTACAATACATAGATGTTAGGATAGCCCTTGCTATCTAACTCGTCTGTTCTTACAATCAAATTACAGTTATAATGTAAACCCCCAAAACAATCTTTCCCTGTTCACCCCTTGCCTTGCAAGCGAATCAGTTATGTTATTTGCTGCTGTGTCCATATCCAAAACACTCTCATTTCTCTAGACAAAAGTTTCAACCACAAACCTCTAGCAATCCCTAGCTATTTGCACCTGTTACTCCTGTTGACCACATTGACCTGAACATCAACACTACTTTCTGAAAACCGCCTCAACTCCACAAATTCACCTCACTACCTCCAACCGTTATCTCATGTATCAATAGACAAGAATCAATGTATTACCAAATTGTGGGTATTGGGTATTATAAATAATAATTATTATCAAACACCTCTATGTCTTTTTCATGGACCATTTGTTGGTGCAATAGTAAAATCTCAAGCTAACAAGTGTGTCAAGTTTGAGACTGGCTACTTTGTGTACAAAAGCTACCAAAGGTTAGGTCCATATCTAGTCAACCCCTCTCAAGACCCTAGATAGCTAAGACCAGCATTGATAATGGCCATACCACCATTTATTTTTTCATTATCACCCATTCAGCCACACAATTAGAATCATCATCTAAGCATCCCAACTATATGAAGTCAGCTACATGCTACTTTGATCCATGTCCTCGTTAAAGTATGTGCACCACGTAATTAGAATTTTAACTAATTCTACCAATCATGCTGTACTTCCTACTCTTCTAAGTGATATGATTTCCACAAAAAGAAAAGGTGCAATAACTTGTAGTAGACTTCCTGCCCATTGAGGACCCTGCCCAATGTGCATCTAAATATCTTTCCAGTAATAAATCTCCTCCTTTCTTGTAAAATAAACCATGGCCTGGAGCAACCAATTTTCAGTACGAAAAATCATTAAAAAAATAATCAACCACTTACCTGAACCACTAGCCAATCTTATAACCATACAACTAAGTTGTCGCCACACCACATCACTCAATCACCACACACTGATAAAAGACTAAAGCAATTGATCTGAACAAGTGAACATCAAAAAAGCACCCCTCTTCAGGCTGTCGATTAGAGGGTGCTTAGAAAACCACAAACTACTGCAACCTGAGGCATGGAAGCCTCCTTTCTTCAATAACAACCAGTCCTTTTTTAGTCTTTTTTTTTCACTTCAAGTATGGAGAGAGTTCACTCTATAGAAAGAACTATATGGTATCAAAGGCTATTCAATTGATTACTGCTGCTCTGATACCATGTAATCTTCCTTAAACAGCCATTAAAACAAGAGAAAAACAGCAACAAAAGAGGAGAACAGTCAAATTGAGAGAGAAAAGAGAAAGAAAGAAGAAGAGAATAAACAGAAGGGTTTTTTCAGCAAAAGAGAGTTCAAACTCCTATCTCTAACTGCCGACCCACTTTTATTTCTTTTACTAATGATATGTAAAAAGACATTTGTGCCCTTATTTAAATACAGTACAAAAGAGAATATAAAATATCTATAAAAAAGACCAAACTGCCCTGCCACCTAATAACTTTAACAATACCTATCATCTACATGTCTTCCTGTCCATTGCAAAATTCCATCTCTACCTTCCCCAACCTACATATAATCTTCTTCAACCTCTCATCTTGACAACTCAACTTCTGCGTGCAACAATACCTCTTTTCAGCAATCCAACATCCCCAACCTTCTGATGGATTGGATAATCTCCAAATTCTCTATTTCTTGGAATAAAAATAACCAGTTTTTACTCTTCAATTATGATGCAACCTCATAAAGCTCTATTACAAATAGCAGAACCACAACTGTTAGTATTTTATCCAAGCTATCCACCTCAACTAGAACCCTAGATAATCAAACATCAGTCCAAGACAGGTCCCCCTCGTTGACAAACTTGAAACTTAATTGCATCTTGACTCAATCAAGTCTTGTGTCAACTATATGGAGTTGGCTACACGAAGCATGTTCTATCATTCCACTCTATTCAATGCCATATTAATTGTCTTGGTCTGCTCCTATCTCTTCTACACCTTTCGACTTATAACAGATTTCCCAATAACAGCTGTATCGATCCAAGGAGGTTGGAGTTCAGTTTTGCTGAAACTGTATCGTTGAATCGGCTCCACACACACTATTGCACCATCTTCAGTAGGAGGCCGATCTAGGTTTGATATAGGGCATGAACTACCACACTGGGAGCTGCTTTTGTGGACTCCATATCAATTACGATCAGCATTTAACTTGGTTTCAAATCTGGTCCAGTTTTGTGCAAGATCGATTCGGAAATTCAGATTTCAAAATTATTGGGAAATCAGTTCATAGGTTGGGTTAGAAATTTTTTATAATTTGGCCATGTTAAATTTGATTTCTAATCCAACCAACACTTAGAACTATCAATAATCCAAAACTTGAAACCAGAAAAATAGAAACTTGCAAACATGGAAACCAGAAAATAGAAAGCTAAAAAGTAAAAACTCTTCAAAATAGTAGTTGCCTAATAGTTTCCTAAATGACATAGAAAGTTGCTAAATTATGCAACTATGAACAGAAATTTTCTAGCTGGCATAAAAGGAAACAATTGTAAAGAAAACTATCAGTTTCTAAATCTTAGTACAGGCTTACAGGCTACAACTATTGACTGTTCCTCCCTTCATATGTTTAGGTAAATTAGGGATGCTCAAATCTCTTCACAAATTGTTTTCCTACATCTAGTGCTGCAGAAGGCTGCAATGCATCATTTTCCCACATTCATCACAACTTTTGCATTTTTGCTAAATTTATTTTTTGAACATGTTTCTTGAAACAACTAATGAAATCTCCTATGATATTAAAAGTCTTTAGACACTAGGCATGCTAAGGGATACTTGCAACAAGGATCCATACTAACTTAGAACAGTGATTGTTTCTTAATCCACCCACTGTTGGGGGCTAGAAGTCTAATTGTAGCTAAAGGTGCCTAATCCTTAGGGACAACCAGTCTTAACACTTCAATAATAATAAACCATCCCCCCTCATTCTAATACTCGCAGGACCAAACCTGTGCCATTCTCTATTCACCCAATCTATAATGCTCCATTTGCTTAAATTAACATAAAGAAATTGGCCCACCAAGCAATAATGTAACATTTCCAATTTAAATGACTTGCATTTCCCCCCACTACGTTAAATCTAGAAACTTGGAGGTTAAATCATACATAGTTCCTCTAAATTCATATCCAAAAAAGCATTATTAATATCCAACTGGTGGACAAGCCATAAAAAATTAACATCCAAGGATAGAACTCTTACAGATTTCATCTTTGCTATTACAGAAAATGTTATGGTCCAGTCAATATTGTATGTCTAAGGTCTAAGCATCTCAATTCAAAAAAGCATACTTAATATCCAATTGATGGGGACACCATGAAAAATTAACAGCCAAGGCCAGCAGATCTCTAATAGAATTCATCTCTGCTACAGTAGTAAACATTTTGGTGTAGTCAATATTGCAAGTCTAAATCCTTTTGCAACTAGCTGCCTTCATACCTTTCAAAATATCCATCAGCCATCTGCCCCCATAAGAAGATCAACCAACTCCTACATGTGATTCTTGTATATTTTCTCTAACTATAAATGAAGTTTATAGTTAAAACAGAAAAATCTCTAATCAACTACTACATATAATGGCATGAAATCTGCCAAGGAATTTGAATATTCAGATATGCATTTAACTTGAAATATAAAGAAAATATTCTAGTGAAAACATTTGAAGTAATAGCATGAAATATGTTTGACAATTTAAATGTTTAAAATAATAACATTAAACAGAAAAGAATGGCAAGGCAGGATTCACATAGCCAACTTTTGGAGGAACTGGTATGTAGTGGCAAGGAGCTCTTCCAAGAAAGAAAAAATAATCTCAAGAGTGGATGCCCCTTCCAGAATATTTTTTCAAATTGAACTTTGATGGAAGCAGCCAAGGTAATTCAGGCCCTACTAGAGTTGGGGGATCTTTTAGACATAAAGAAAGGCATATCATTGCCATCTTCTCAGGCCCAGTGGGAGTGAGAGACTCTACTAGAGCAGAACCTTTTGCAGTACTACAGGGAGTACAAATTGCAAATGAGATGAACTTGGAGAATGTGATAATTGAAAGTGATTCTAAAGTGGTTGGGGTGGTTAAAGGAGCCAAAGCTGTAATTTGGGGCTAAAAAAACAAGATGAAGAAATTTAAATGGCTGACAAGAAACATCACTTTGAGAATACAATGGGTGAGAACAGCCAATGCTTTAGCTGATACTCTCTCTAAGCAAGGGGTGGATAGTGAACAATTGTATTGGATGTGGTTGTAATTATAATTTTTTTCATTATGACGGGAGAGGTTGCACCTCACACCTCTCTTAGGGATGCTTATATTGATAATATCTGTACTGATAGCATTGTAATTTTTTCTCTCTGATATATAAATTCCACGTACTTATTACATATAGTTGGGATAAGGGTTAGATGATTATGATGACATGCAGTTCAATTCAACCATCACCATGAAGCTCAATAACTGCATATGTGGAGCAAAGGGAGGAAAAATCCAAATGGATACCTTAGACTAGTCGGTAATTGTTGATTACCAATTACCTAATATGGAAATAAGAAAAAGAAACCAAGCGAATAAATTTCCCATCAAAATCAACCCAAATTAAAAATGCATGCCAGAATCATTAATAAGAAACTCCAAATACTAAATCAAAACTGCTTACCATTTTTTTTCTCAAACAAAAAAGCAACGTGCTAGAGTTGACATCCCTAAAGGTAATATTTAAAATAATCATGCCTTTTGTGGTAATTTTCCATTTTTCCCATAAAATTATTATGGGGACTTACAAGGGTATCATGGAAGGATGCAATTATCTAACCAATAGCCATTGCAAATCTTCTCCAAATGGTAGAATCAGTTTGGTTCCGTAGTTATTGTATATTGGTGTAAGTTTGCTCCCTAGACAAACCTTGCAGTGTTTGGATTAGATGAAATTTGGGGGTAGAAATGGAATCAAATTCTTTACTAAAATACAGAAATAAAAGATACAATTGTCATATCACGGAATAGGGGTCTTGTTTAACAGAAATAAAAGGTGAGTCAACATGACCCTGTGGACACAAACCAGAAATAACAGACCACAAGAACAAACCTGTAATTATAGTTATCATATCACGGAATAGGGGTCTTGTTTAAATGACAAAAAAGAAAAGAAATAATGACAAAAAATAGAAAATTACTAACCTCATTAACAATTCCATCACCTCCAACACATATTATTCCTGAACGAAAATCCAGAAAAAAATGTTGCATGCATTAAGTATAACATAATAAATAATAAATTTGATGCATAAGTACAACCCAATAAATAAATATCATAACTTAGTAAGCATGGGTCAGTACTACCATCAGGGCATGTACTAAGTTCAACACTGGAAGCAAGTTTTCTAGCATGACCAGCAGATTGTGTTTTGACTACCTCCATCTTGAACCCTGCAAGCTGGCATAAGTTTGGAACTCAGCATAACTATGAATATTTATAGAAAACTATGAAACGTACCTTTTTTATCTCTCTAAGAAGAACAGAAAATTTGTGATGCTATTAACTGTATAATACCTGGGCTCCTCATCAATTTACCATATCTGTATAATGCTTCTTATATTTTTTTCTAGTTCAATCAGTAACTGTTAAATTTTATTAAATAGAAATAGGTATATACATTAAAGTTCTTCACATCCTCCTTGACAGCTAGCCTTGGCTTGGCCTTCTAGCAACCAAATTACATGAAGGACCATTCATCCTTAATCAATCAGTCCCCAGTACAATTTTCTTTGACCCCTTGTTTCAATATAATGCATGTTAATGAGTAGATAGGTTGAGTGATTTCAAAGTGGTAGTCAGGTGAACAAATTTGTAGGAACTTAGGAGTAGCCCCAATAAGTGATAAATGAGGGGAAAGTAGAGTAAGCCAGTTCAGCCACATGCAAAGAAGACCATCTATAGCATGAATGAGAAGTGATCTGTTGCCAGTTGAAGGATCTATAAGAGATAAGAGCAAGCCAAAAAAGACATGGGTTGAAGTACTGAGAAATGATTTGAGGGCCCATAATTTAACAGATACAACACTGAGCAGCATGGAATGGTGGAATATGATTCCTGTAGCCAACCCATACAGATAGGACAAGGGTTAGCCAAGTTGAGTTGAGGTTGGGTGGATGCATAACCGGATGCTGGTCCTTGTATCTATAGGCACTAGATTAAAGAAGCTTGATCTCTGGCAGCTAGCATGAATATCTCATTCAATTAGGTCCAGAGGTCAGTTAACTCCCAAGTGGACTCTCTTTCCATAACAATGGTTAAGGCAGAGTTGTACTGGTGGTCTGCCCTGCAGAGATAGACATTTTTATTTTGTCATCTTTCGTATATGGGATGAGATAGGCCCTTTGGCCTATATCTGTATTTCCATTCCTTGGGAAGTTGAACCTTTTTTCTATTTTTCAATGTATTTAATGAAAGTTTATAATCTGACATTGAACAACAAATAACAATAATGCACTGTTAATAGACTGTTCCCCGAGGAAGCCAGACAACAGGTTGCATAAGTCATAATACCAAGTCTGATAATTGTCAATCTGAATGCAAATTGATTATTTTATACTTATAAACTCTTCAAATCAACTGTCATTTTAATGGAACTCAGCATGTTAGTATTACAACATAAGCCCACTTAAGAATCTTCAACAGAATTTTGTCATGTTTTGTCCAATGCAAAACCCATTGAAATTAGTATTCAGCAAATTTTTATCTTTCCATATCCATACACTGCATAAAACTTAAATTAGAATTAGATCATGAAGATGAAATAAGGTAGATAAGAATACAAGTCCTTGGGCAGGGATTGAGGAACAGGATATGAGAAAGCATAAGCATCAGAAAGGGGGTCTGGGTTTCCTTAGTATACAGAGACAAGTAGGACAGATGTCATTGGTGGCCATGTGGACTTGAGTTTCTTGCAGGATGAGATTATGAAGAACCCAGGTTGAAAGTGGGCAGATAATACTCATGGTAAAAGTGAGAGTGGAGGAGAAATGAGGCAAAACTGTCAAGATTTGATATTCTGTGTGAAGGTTGGGGTTTAAGGAGGCTATGGTCCAGTAGTTGAGAATTGATGTTTGCTTGGGGTTGTTGATAAGGTCGTGTTGATGAATGTGCGTTGTGGGGTTTATGTTGAGAATCTCATTTTTTGGTTGGGTGCTATTAACCTGTTAGGAGGGAAGCCAGGTTTCCATTTATTTTGTGGTTATCAATGCATTAGGTATTGTGGAGGTTACTACTTCAAGTTTTTTTTTCCCTTTTTTTTTCTAATTGGCCTCCCTCTTCCATTCTCAGCTTGTATGCTCATTTCTTATCTAAATTTTCTATTACCTATGAAAAAAAATCAGGTATATGTTACATGTATTATAAAGGCAAACTTATATGATAGGTTTTCTTCATCTGATCGGAAGCAGTGGAAGTCGTATTCAAGTAGAAATACAAAAACAAAAAAAAAAACTAGTATAAAACTCCCCAAACCAAAAGAAAAATAAGTGTTCTCCAATGGCCCAAGCCCAAACAAAGAGACGAACCTACCGCCCACCCCAAAACAGAACCTGCATGGTAACCAGATGTAGAAACTAAAATACATGAACAGAAATGCAACAAACCTTAAATATTGGTTCCACTTTGCTATGGAAAACTTTACTTGAGCGACCATGACCAGAACGTGGATTTAGTATTACAAGTATTCTTGGTGGGCTTTTACATTTGATATTTGGTTCAGGCAGGAAATCATTAACAACCATGTCAGATGCCTGCTTCTTGGAAGAAACTAAGGGATGAGGTAAACAATTCACAAAACACTGTTGATCAGCAAATCCACTAATCCATTGAAGGGCTTCTTCTACATTAGAAGCAATGAAGCGAAAGTCCTTTCGACTTCTTTGAGGCTTCATGAAACAGGAAAGACCACAGGATCCCTTTCTGATTGGGTAAGAATGAACTGTAAAATGTCTAAGACCCGCATTATATGATMCCTGCCAATATCATGGTTTAAACCATTATTTCCCAGGTTAGGATACTCCAAAAATCAGAAGGGAAAAGATTATTAAGGTATAAGGATCAAAAAGACTAGAAAGAACATACTGAAATCACATCATCCAGAGACAACATATGTGATCCCCAGACTAATGCTTTGCTTGTCAATTTGGCATCAACTGCATCTTGGTTCCTAGTTTCTTTTGATGTTTGTGCATCAGCATCTCCGCTGGATGTTCTCTTATCCAAAATGAGTCTCCCAGAAAATACAGTGTATCCCAGCAGATCAGAATGTTCATCTCCTATGTCAATCCTGTGGTCATGTGTCTTTAATTTTCCTGTATTGTCACTGGTATCATTGACCTCATTTTGCCTCAAAGCTTTTACTTTGCCACGTTTTTCCGGAAATACAGTAGGAGAACAATGCTGCCCTGTTGCTATTTGAGAACATCTACTGCCCAAACGGCGAAGAGACTGCTGAGTGGTCAACCTCAAAGGACTAATATGCTGAGAAAGATTTCCACTATTCTGCATCTGCTTTCCACAATAAAATCCTTAATTGAAACTGCAAACCACAAAGTGCAAATGGCAAGACGAACCTCATACAATCTGTATAGTAGAAGCCACAACAGGACCAACAAATGCCAGTATAATAGAACCTGCATAGTTACTTAAATTGAGTATCAGAAAATTCAGAAAGAATTTACATTATACTTGTTGAAGAGAAAGATGTGCATGATAGTTCCAAGTAACCCAGAATGCTAATAACCTACCAAAAAAAATAGAATGCTAAGAAGGTGAACTATAATCACCCAATCCCAACCTGAAGACTGAAGAGATTATTAAAGGATAATAGCATATATACTTTAAACTCTTCAACATGACAAAATGATGTAAGAGGGTTCACAATTCACTATTCAAGTAGGGGTGATCATGGGCTAGGGCTAGCTTAGCTTATGATAGGGCTATAGCTAGGGATGGCAATTTTCCCCGTCCCCGACGGGTACCCAGTCTCCCCGACCCGGCGGGGCCGAGTATGCTGAGTGCTTTGGTGGGGTCGGGATTGGGGATGGGGCTAACATTGAATCCCCGATTGGGGACGGGGATGGGGGTGGGGAATTCAATCCCCGCCCCGGCCCCGATTAATATAAAATGTATAATATATTATTTATATTATTATATTATTATATTATGAATTATTTGATTAACAAATAACAATTTCAACTAACAATTAATTAAACATTACACAGATTACAAAAACTCAAAAAAGAGTAAAAAAGTAAAAGACTAAAAAGACAAAAACTTAAAACTCTCGAGAGACTCTTCTACTACCACTCGACAAACGAAGAAGAAAGAACAAATGCGGCGGCTGAAAGCCTGAAACTCGAAACCCTAGTATGGTAGTGCCCTACTCTTCTTCTTCCGTTAAGACTCTTCTACTACCATTCGACAGACGAAGACGAAAGAACAGATGCGGGGGCTGAAAGCTTGAAACACAAAACCCTAGTATGGTAGTGCCCTACTCTTCTTCTTCCATTGATCTGTTCTTCCTTCTCTCTCTCTCTCTCTCTCTCTCAAGTGAGGCAATGCTGCAACTCAAAGCCCGTAATGGTCCTCTCTCTCTCAATGCTTTTGATTTCTGATTTTTGAAATCTCAAACAGATTACAGATCTGAATCTACTTCAGTACAGATCTGAATCTACTCGCAAGTCGCAAGTCTGGAGTCTCTCTCTCAAGTCGGGGATTCAGGTCTCCAACGAGTAACTCATCCCCATCGGGGTCAGGGATGGAGGGGAATTTCTTTCCCCGATGGGGATCGGGGGACGATTTGGGGGTCGGGGTCGGGGATGGGGAATGTAATCCCCGCCCCATTGCCATTCCTAGCTATAGCCAAGGCCCAGGCCCAGGCTGGCTTAGCACCTTAAATTTACCATTTTGGCTTGTCTTTTTTGTTGCTACTAGTAAGTGTTCATGTGCTTTGCACATAGCAATTCTAGATGATATAATAATGCATCCAATTTTTTTTATAAACTTTATGTATTTTTTATTTTTTATTTTTATATATTTTATTTTTGTTTTTTTATTATGAATTGGATGCAGATTGCAAAATCCAAATCTGATTACATAAACACTTCATCCAAATATGTGATAATCAGATCGAGTAGGCTAAACTCTTCTTTTTGTAATGTTTTATCTTTTTGGTGTATCTTTTTTTGTCCATTTATCAAAAAAAAATTAAGATTTAGATAGAGGGAATTGAATGAGGTGAAAAGTAGTAGTTCAATTTACAATTTAAACCTCACAATTAAATAGGGACTAAATTCAGAAATGAGTATTTTAGTCAAAAGAAAGTTCCACAATCTTATTCATATTTTTAACAGTAGTATAAATATATAATTATAGATGTGTTCAAATTTTCTATAATTTTTTTGTATTTCTGTTGTAAAAAAAATCATGATATGTCACACCTACTTTTTGTTTAATATAATAAATATATGATATTATACATGAGCTTGAATGTTTTTTTGGAAATATTTATGTTTTTTTTCATTTTTTATTTTTACATTTTATTATTATTTTTTATTTACTATGATGTTAAAGGTTAACACATTTGACCCAAAAGTTGAACTATTGCTCTTTTCCAAACAGTAAAATAATTTCATTTTTGGTCAGTTCTAAATAATGCATTTCTTTTCATTATCAATAAAAATAATTCTTGTTTGTTACACTTATTAATAAAAATATATTTTTTATTTGATTAATAAAAATATCATAAATGTGTCTAGTTTTTTCTACATTTTTGTAGTTTTATTTATGAATCAATTTTAAAATATATGGGTTTATATTATTAAAAATATTGACATAGATCTAAAATTACATTTTACAATTAGGGATGAAATAAATACACAAATATGGCCATTTTATTAGCCATTAAAACTAGCATTAAATTTGTAATAAAATGACTTTTATACCCTTTCTCAAACAAAGAAATAGAGGGTAATTTTAGTCCAAAAAAACTTTCACTCTGCATCCACACTTTTATATATAGCATGGATATGTTTTGATTAGATTGAAAGTCCTCATTTGTAATTATGTGCATTTTTCTTTTTCTTTTGAATTATAGTTACTTTGCAAGTGAATCATATGAAAATAGTAAGCCAATTACACATGGGTAGCAGGTGGTGGAAAGGTAACAAAGATGGGAATTTCAGGTGAAATCCTATGCCCATCTATTGTTGAATTCACACCCAGGGAGGGGTTCCATGGAAGTGGATTTGGAGGTCGATGCCCCATCCAAATTGGTGTTCTTCACTTGGACAGCTATTTTGAACAAGATTTTAACCCTCAATAACCTCATCCTAGAGGGATGATTTTCGTGAATCAGCACTCTGTGTGAAAATGATTGGGAGTCAATTGACCACCTCCTGCTACATAGTTCATTCTCATACACTGTATGGACACATTTCATCAAATTATTTGGGGAGTCAATGGGTACCGCCTCAGGATGAACGCAATATTTTCTCTTGCTGGCCAGAAGTATGGTTTCAGCAAAAGAGGTGCTTTCTGTGGTGTTCTACTCCTTTAGTAATCTGTTGGTCCTTCTGGGGAGAGAGGAATAACCGCATTTTCAAGGGTAAGCCCTCCTCCCAAGAATCAATGATAGGTAGAGCAGAGAGGCTATTGGTCAGATGGACTTGCCTTAAGGACTTCACCAGCCTCTAATTCCAAAATTCTTCACTTTTTGTATCTGATGTTTATACAATTTACCATTGTTTCCTTTTCAGCTGGAAGGGGTTAGCCTTATTTTTATTAGGGGTCTCCCTTTTCTTTTATCATTATAACTTTTAGACTTTACCTTTCAAAAAAAAAATAGTAAGCCAATGATCCAACCACTAATTCTCCATGGGTTCATTTAGGAAAAGATTTTTAAAGAACTATGATGATTTTAATCAAATATTGTAAAGTTTCTGATACTATTCTAAAATTTTAAACCTAAAATGTATAGTCTATCAATGAAATCTGAAATTTCACCAACATATCTGCAAAATATCAGAGATACTATGGAAAAGGATTCCTGGAAAATTTTGTATCACAACCTAGCAAAATGGGGAGCTTTCAGGGAAATTTTGCTGATATTGCAAACCATGCTTGCAACAACCCAAAACTTCCACTAAACCACCAACACCACCTCTAAAGATGCCTCCTACTTATCTGCAGTCCTGCCCCATCCACTTCTAGTACTTTTGGAACTCCCCTCATCAATCGTGCTTCAAGACAAACATCCTAAGAAGTTTAAGTGGAGACAAAGAGCATTCTCACACTCAAAATCTCAAAAACCCAACATAAACCAAGATTCCTAGAGATATCAACTGTGATTGGAACTGAGAAACAAGAAATTTCACTAACTAAAACGATTTCCTGGGGGTGTCATTTCATGAAAACTAGGGCCTATACTTAAACTCCAAAATCTGGTTCTTTATCAAATTGGCATCACACGAAGAAAACATCATTACATTCTTTAACATGATCCAAATTCTCCTTTGTCTAAGCAGGGCCCACATATTATATCAGCAAAGCATACACAGTGGATTCCACAAAGATGGAAATTGATTTTTTTCTGATAAAGTAATGGGGAACTTTATTAATTAATTGACAATGGAAATAGCATATACAATGAAGCCTCCCAAGGAGAGGCATGAGCTGCAGCCTCAAAAACAAAACAAAACAAAAACTGAAAAATTACAGTTGAGCCCAAAAGAGATGATCCCTGTGCACTCCTTGCTTAGCTAAGTAGTCTGCTATCCCATTAGCTGGCCTCCTTTCCCAATGAATTCTCAGAGACAAATTGGTGGTCAACCAGTTAAATCTTTTCATTGATTCCCTATAAGACCAAAATTACAGAGTCCAGATCCTTAAGCCATCCAATTATCAACCTGCAGTCCCCTTCAATTAAGAGTTTATCAAAATACAGCTCTCTAGAAATCTGTACTCCCTGCAATATTGCTTGGAACTCCACATGGATAGAGTCCCCCACTCCTACCGGGCCCAAATAAAGATCAACTATGTGACCTTCAGCATTCTTGAATACACCCCTATTACTGAAGGCCTCAGATTGCCAAGGCTGCTGCCATCAAAACTGAGCTTGATAAATCCTACATCAGGAGGGGCCCAATCTACCATAGGCCTTACCTTAACCACAGAACTCCTCGCTACAACTTCCCAATTCTGCCACATATCATCAAAGGACCATTGGGAAAAATAAATCCAATGTTTTGGCCCAATGTAAGGCCCTAGTTACAACACAATCGCATATGGCCTCCACACTTTTTTCCTTGTTGCTAAAAATTCTGGCAATTCTCTTCTCCCATATAGTCTACACCATAGCAGCCCTAGCACATCTCCACAAAACCCTACCCCTTCTTTTAGGCTAAGTGAAGGTTGAAGGGTCGAAAGGTTACCGGCTTGAAAAGCTAAGTTCCACCTACATCCAAATAGTACAAATAGATTTTCCCAGAGGCCTGCAGCTATAGGGAAAGAAATTAGCAAGTGGTCACAGATCTCACCATTAACTTTATAGAGAACCACACCAATTTGGGGAAAGACAAAGGGATGGTCTTCTTTTCTGCAGCAAATCCAAAGTGTTTACTTTACCATGGAAGACTTCCCAACAGAAAAAGCTCCAACCTTGGGTGAGATGAGTTCGGACCAAAATTTTTTAGAATGAAAGGGAAGAGGGGAGGGAGTAGAGCACAACAAATCTAAAAAGGAGGCACAAGAGAAGAGGCCCTTAGGATGGGGTGTCCAAACCTGACCATCTAGATGTGAGGGATCCAGGAGAAAAGGGTTAAGGGTTTGCAAAAGAAGAGCAACAAGATCGAATTCATGATCTCTTAAAATTCTTCTCAAGCCGAATTCCCAACTAACACCAATCGCAGAGGGAAAAGAAGAAAATCTTTCAATGGGTAAACAAAGAAAGGGAATACAATGAGGGAAAAAGGTTCTTAAGGGTAGAGTTACCGGTCCAAATGTCTTCCCAAAATAAAACCTTGTCTCTGGTACATGCATCATACCTGATAAGGCTTAGAAACTAGGAAGAATACCATGAGTGGCTTTCCACGGAGAAGCCAACACAGCCCATTGACATACACCAACATCCCAATGTTTGTCTGCTTGCCCATGTATACTTTTAATTACCTCGTGCCACAACCTATCCCCTCCAAAGGCCATCTCCATAACCACTAGCCCAACAGCGCTATATTCTTCTTTCCTATATTCCCCAATCCCAACCCCCCCCCCTGTTCCTTACTCTTGCAGACAATTTCCCACTTAACCAGGTGATCCTTCCTTCCTTCCCCCGGCTCCCATAAAAAAAAAAAAAAAAAATACATGATCCTCTCTAGCTTTAACACCTCCCTTTGTGGCATCTTAAAGACTGAACGATAGAAAGTTGGTAGGTTTGCTAGGGTGGCTTTTATTAAGGTTATTCTCCCACCTAAAGAAACATAGTTCCTCTTCCACATTGCCAATCTCTTAGCACATTTTTCTACAATCAGACCTCAAAACCTACTTTCCCTTGAATCAGGAAATTGATTTCCAGATTTAAAAAGCCTCAAGTTTCTTATTCTTGCAGCAATGTTTGGATTTTGGAATGCCTTGGGTTCTAACAATGGATATGGCACTGAACAGAATGGAATGGTGAAACAGGAATTCATGTGGCCAACCCCATATAGTGAGACAAGGCTTAGATAATGATGATAATGAATGCCTTGGGTTTCATGACAATTTCAAAACCTGAGGTTTGGCAATCGCATTTTGATGTTAACATTTTCAATTTCTGAAATGGTAGAAATTGGAATCATTTATGTTGGCAAAATGACCTTAGTTTGCAAACCTGGAAAAGGAAGTTTACAATCTCAGAATTTTGCATTTTAGAACCCTGGGTTCTTTCACTCAAGAATCCAATTAGCTATTTCTACCAAGAACTTCATAATGTGGACAATGCTGATCACGGTCATTGAAGATCCCTTAGTGTCTTTCTACTAAAATGCCCAAAATGAAGGCAATTTATGCAAATTGCCTGATTTATATCAAAAAATGCCACTTGGAAAGCATTGCCAATGATTCAACAAAACTGTTTCTTTAGTAAAAAGAAAAGAAAATACCTTACTAAAAGGTACAAAGTGTATGAATTAATAAGAAAGAACCTTCTATAGAGGCTACACATAGCATGGCCATATGAATGAACATGGTAAAGAATCACACTCCATAGCTAAAGATTTTTATCCTCCAGAAATACCATTTTCTCATCCAGTCTTTTGCAAAGCAAGAACAGCAACTAAAGCACAAGGGGTTCTTAGAGCCTTAGGCACAAGAAACGAGGTGAGTCATGTGCCTGAACAAAATAATTTACCACTTTTTACTAGAAAATAAAAGAAAAACATAACATACATAATAAGAAAAACCATGTTCAGATAAATAAAGTATTTCAAAAAGCCTATTAGCTGAATTGTTTAGAGTATCATGTTGTTAACAACTTAGCATTAAGCTTGTAGACTTGTAGTCCAAGTCCTACATGGGATAAACCATTTCAACTCTGCATCAATGGTATGACCTACAATCTTGTAATTTATGTAGTCAACATAAATTCAAGGTTAATTCATCAAAACATAGCAACAATCTAGGTGAGGCAAATCTGGGGTCAGGTGAGGTGAACCCTACAAAATGAGCCTAAGTGCACCCAAAGCAAACCTACATGGGGTAAACTATTTTAACACTGCATCATAGGTATAACCTACAATCTTGTAATTTATGTATTCAACATCAAATTCAAGGTTAATTCATCACATAGGAACAAGCTAGGTGAGGCAAATCTGGGGTCAGGAGAGGTGCACCCTACAAAATGAACCTCGCATACGAGTGTAGGTGCACCAAGCACACCAACATGGGATAAACCATTTTAACTCTGCATCATAGGTATGACCTACAATCTTGTAATTTATGTATTCAACATCAAATTCAAGGTTAATTCATCAGATAGCAACAAGCTAGGTGAGGCAAATCAGGGGGTCAGGAGAGGTGCATCCTTCAAAATGAGCCTCACATATGAGCCTAGGTGCACTCAAAGCACACCTTTTACAATAACAAGCCTTTTTTATATGTGCAATAACAGTTAAGAAGATATGAAACATCTCATGCAACATGGGAGCCTTTTTATGGAGTTACATCTCTGCTCTTTTTGAGGTTCAGATAAATAAACCCTTTTGAATTGGCCAAAGATCCAAGGAAGCAAAAAATAAAGATCTTTTAGTGCTGTACCCCATTTTGAATTTGTTGAGGAATCTGGAAAGAAAGAAACAGAAGACTCTTCAAAGACGAGACAAGAAATATGGACATATTGTGTGATGTAGGAAATATGACAGTTGATTGGGTGCTGGTGTTACCAGAATTCTCAGGATTAGATAGAGCTTGTTTTGGTTTGAGCTTTCGGAACACACACAAGTTAGGTTGGAATTTCTGTTTTAGATAGATCTGTTTGAAGTTTTTGTCATTGTAACAATTTCTGATTTAGTACATGCTTTGTTCTTGGGTGCCAGGTCATCACCCTACATTCAGTAGTAACCTTTTTTTATTTTAACAACAGTTCCTTGATTTACTATCAAAAAATTGTTCTTTTCATTTCTTTTTTAATCATCAACAGCAATCAAGAAATTTTATTTATATAATGAAAATGTAGAAAACCCAGCATTCTGAAAATGACTGCAAGGAAAAAGTATGACACTGCCAAGTGACAAAACATTTGCTAAGAACCATTGCATAGACTACTTGAATTAGCCCCCAGGCTAGGTCCCCCACCCCATCCCATACCATATCAAACCTTATAACCTCTTCCTTACCAAAGCATCCACTAGGCTCTTTGCTAACATTAAAGTCCATCTAAACAAACTGTTCAAAGTTGCTAACGGTGCTTCTACTTCTCTCATTGAATACTTAAGATTCAAAGGACCTCCAAGCCTTGGCTTGGCAATAGCCAGCTAGCCACTACTTTACTTTTACTTCGCATCACCAAATACCAATTAATTCCAGTTCACAGAAGAAGTTACTGTTAAAACCTTGTAGGAGAGCAAGTTCAGCGCTTAAAGGATCTCCTAATTTCCTTCACAAACTGGGTCATAGAAGCTAAGTACATGGTAACTGAAAACATTTCCCACCACTAATTGGCCTAGGTTTCTAGGAGAGTGTCCATCTTACTTTTCCTACTCCTAGGAAGACAGTTAAGCATCACCGACTACTTATGTGAGATAAAAGCAGCCACTACCTGCCAGCCCCTCAACAAAGAGTCCATTGGAGCACCATTAAATTCATCCCTCATAAAAACCTAATGTGCCAAACTCACCCTTTTCAGGTCAATGAGAGTGTTCATTTCAAGTTTCATGTGTCAAATATACCTGAGTTTCTTTCATACCAAAAACTCCAAAGCACTGCTGCTCTAGCATACAACTGAAACAAGTTCACTGCTCTTAGAATTTAGGGATACCAGGATATAGGAAAATAAATATATGATTTTCATGGATGGGACTCAAGAAGTTCCAAAAAGAGGGAAAAAGTGCTTCCGCATCTCTGTTATGTAAGAGCAAGAGAGAAATAAGTGGTTAGTACTCTCATTAATATTGCCTATAACTTGTTGAATAATCCTGGCCTGTATTCTTTCTAATAATTCAGGGTAGGGGACAGTTAAGAGTTCTTAAAATTGTTTTTTAATTACAAATCTTTACACACTCCAGCAGATCATTAAATTCCATGAATTTGTACAAAAAGTAGCAGAAAGCCGTTCTTGATAAAGAGTAATGCAGCCAACCCAAATAGTTAGGATGAAACCTTTTTTGACTTATCTTTGAAAGCAGAAACATGATTTTGGAATACACTTGGAGAAGAAATTAATAAGTAAATATAGAAAACATAATTCTCTTATAAAAATTGCCATATCAGCAATGACAGTTTAGATTATATATTATACTACGCTGTTTAGTTAGTTCTAAAGATAATTCCTCACCTCGGCGAACAATTAAGAAACTGAAGTGAATCAGAAACGTGAAGATGGGAAACAAAATAATTACAAGCAATGATGAGGCAGCTTCAGAGGGTTTTGAAACGAAAGAAATCTATAATTGAATGTCGATTTTCACAACCAGCTCGGGAAACAATCAAAATCCATTTCAATTGAAGTCATTCCAGTTCAATTAAACATTCCAATTCAATTCAATCCACCTAAAAAGCATAGTTCTTTCAGAAGCACTATTAGACTCAAGCTCAGAAAAACACTATCAAGGAAGAGGAGTCAGCGATCAAGGATCAGAAACCAGAGACCATAGATCAGATCAGCAACGAACGACTACCCAGAAAAATCGGAAAACACCCCAAATTCTACCAAATATATATGCAGCAGAACCCACAGAAAAAAAAAGAGTAAATTAGTGAGAAAGAAGACAAACCTCAAAAGGAAGCCCGACACCCAGATCGAATTCCACCGGAGCTGACACGAAGCACTGTAACAAAGCAGCAAAAAATTAATATATATAAAAATCTCCTTCGTCGCCCAGCGGAATGAGAAAAGCAGATCGCGAACTCCGGGGAGATCTTCTGATCACATTACCAAATTATAGGACTTCAGGGGAGCGAGATGACAGTAAAGGATTGGGAGTCGAGAAAAAGATAATAATGCAGCAGGGGGAAAAGAAGAGGTTTTAGGTAAAAGACTAATAATTAAAAAAAAAAAAAAAAAAATCGTGTCGGATACGAACACGAACCGGCGGTGAAAGAGAGGATACGGGAACGCCAAGGACAGGATATCGGATATAGCACGAAGTGCGATTCACGTCTTCGAACTTCGATTTTGAAAGGTGTATTTTGTTTGGTGGAGTTTTTCAAACTTGTTTCTTTCTTCCTTTTTCTTTTTTTTTTCACTTGTTTGTTTCTCAGTCTTCTTCAACTCTTCCTCTATCTATCCTACTAGCTAGTTTATTTTTCGGTTTTCCGTGTTCGACTTGCTATTCATTTTCCCGGCCTTTCCCCCTCTTTTCGGGTAAAGAAAATTCACGGTGACGCCATGACCGGCCAAGGCTGGCCGAGTGTGTATATACAGAGTACGAACAGACAAAAATGAATGAGATACGTAGTGGAATGGTGGTGAGAAAAAAGGGAAGAGAAAATGAAAGAAAACGCTGTAAAAAAGGACAGAAGCTAATAAAAGATGTAAATGTTTTTACTGGTGAAAGGGTTAATGGATTATTTAATGGTAATGAATTCTCATCTGTCACTTTCCTTACGCGATTAATTGATTTAGTGGTTTTTTTTCTTCTCTCTCTCTCCCTCTTTTTTGAGAGTTTTGTTTGTTTGGAAGCGATAATGATTATGGATAAATTATCTGATGCACAGAGTTTACAATTTTTCTCTGATTTTCACGGTCCATGATGCATACGGGATTGACTGAAGTATAATTGTGGGCCATTTGATAGGCCGGAGTGAATGATCTAATAAAATAGACTCAGAACATGTTATCAATTCAGTGGCCCTTTGGCTCTGATGAGTGATACAGTCCATATGTTTCTTAAATTCATGCTTCAAGCCTTTATCCGACCTGTTGAGTAAAAGTAAAACTCGAGTCCTACCGTCTTCAGGGTCCTTATTTTTCTTAATATTAAAAAGTTAAAAGAATTAAATAGAAAATATGTTAAAATATTTAGCCCCTGTTTGGTGAGTGCTTAAATTATTAGAAGTGGTTAAAAGATTCCAAAAGCATTTAGGGCAGTTGCTGAAAAAGCCCAATGTGTTTTTACGAAAGAATAAGCCCATTTTGAAAGAAGCCCAAATTTTGGTCCATTTAATAAGCTTTTTTTGAAAAGCACTTATTACTAACCCATCTTGGCCCGCCACCTAATTATTAAAATGCTTATGCTACACTGTTTGAAAGATACGCTTTTCCGCCAACACTCATAAGAAATTATTAATAAATGCTTATCCAAAAAGCACTCACCTCCAGGTTTCGGTCAAATACTTTATGGTTTTTTCTACGAAGACAACAGATATCAACAGCTAAGCGCCATTTCCTTTCTCAGCCATTCATTCATGATTTCATGCTGCAATAAAAGAACAAAATTAATAAGAGGGCCATCCCAGCGGAAGGAGAATGAACCCAAAACGGCATAGGCTATTGACCTTCTACAGTTCTACTTGTTCCGAGCCATCTTTTATTCAGTCTAGAAACTCTATCACCCTCTGATTTACCTAATAAATTTATAGGGGTTTGTTAGTGGATGAGACAGAACTAAGATGAAAAATTGAAAATAGATGTTTATTGATGTGACCTACAATAAAATTATTGGTTTAAAATCCACGAAAGTACATTCTTTATGAGCATTAATTATTGTTTTACCATTTTATTTTATTTTTCTTGCTCTTTTTCAGTATAGAAGAAAAAAAATATATCCTTTTGGAGATATAGTATAATAGCAAAGATATAACTTAATATTATATAATCAAATTTAGCTTTTATTATCTGCACCAAAATAAAGGCAAGTATCAACTTTATATAGTAATAGATAGATAATTATCATCATCATCATCCATGCCTTATCCCAATTATACAGATCCGGTTACGTGAATCTTGTCTCGCCGATCCATTTTATTTAGATATATCCACTATTAAATTATTAGTGCTTATATTATTACTTGTGTCCTTTTTGGTTTACCCCTACCTCTTCTAGCCCCTACCACTAATATAACAAATCAATTCTCCTATTTGAAGTTATTGGTGGTCTTTTATGTACAAGACCAAATCATCTTAGTCTACTCTCTAATTTTATCATTTATCAAAGTTGCTCAATTTCTATAAATAACATAATTCTTGATCTTATTTTTTCTAGTCTTCCACTTATTTGTTTAGCATGGGCATTTATATCACACTCATTTTCTGAATATGTTGTTTCTTAACTGCCCAAAGCTATGCTCCATACAACATGGTTGGCCTTACAACTATTTTATAGAACTTTCCTTTCAATCTAATCTAAGTGGCACAAGAAATATGCCGAAAAATTATGTGTAAAAGGTTTTAAATGTTACATAAGCATTTTTAGTTGCTAAATGAATGGTATGTTTGTGGAAGGGTGCAACAAGTAACTTCAAACTATAGAAGAGTGAGCCAAATGATAAAATTTGTACTCTTTCCAAATTGCCTATCATACATTTGCAAGAACTTCCACTTTGCTTTGTTATCCTTTGACAAATTTGTCAAGAAAGACAATTGTTTTGATATTTATTAAGAGTGTCATTTAACAGGCAACTCTACACGTTTTTAAGGGTTTGGTTTTTAAACTAATTGCTTTGAAAAGTAAAACATGATATGGAGTAAAATAGACAATTTCTCATAGTTAGTTTTTTTTTTCAAAATATATCCAAAAAAATGCCTAGAAAAGTGCCTTAATTTAAACCAGCATAAGTTCAGAAGTAAAGCATGATTCAATTAACTGGACATGCTGCAAAGGTTTTGATTAATGTCACAGCTTTGTAAATATTGAAATTACAAATGAATAAAGAGCTTCTGTTGTTTTGCCAAAAAAATACTTTTGTTTAGCCACTCCTTTTTTATCACAAATATATATATATATATATATATATATATATATATATATTAAAAATTGGGCCACAGAGAATTAGATCCATGAGTATTAAAGGTAAAGTTGTTTGATCATCATCATTTTAATTTTGTCCAACTATGAACCTGTTTGGGAGGGCTTTATCTTGAGTTGCGTTGATTGAGCCAATTTGCTGAAGCTACTAAAACCAACTTCACCGGAATCAATTTTTTAGTTGAATCAAAGAATATTTGGGCTTAATTTCCAGGTTTTTTACTAGTCCACCAAAGTCAAAAATCACTGCATAGAAACCGTCCCAAGCAGGCACTATGCACTATATAAGGTTAGTTACATGAATCCCATTATAGTTTGAATCAGATAGGCACAATATTATAAGTAGGAGTAGACACGAGTCAAGCTTTTCACAAATTATTCGAGCTCGGTTTGGCTCAATTTAAACTGAGCTCGAGCCTGATATATAGGTTCTTTTGCTACTCAAGCCCAGTGAAGCTTGGCTCATGAGACTTGCAAGTCTAGTATGATAAATAAATATTTTTTTATTATGTACATACATATATATACATATACATATATATAATAAATAATTTTTATTATATAATAATATTTTTATTTTTTATATATAATGGTAAATAATTTTTATAATTCTTATTTTTTGTATGTAAAATAAAAACATTATTTATATGTATATGTTTATTTATTATATGTATAATAGTAAATGATTTTTATAATTCTTAATTTTTTGAATGTAAACTAAAAGAATATTTTTATATGTATACATTTTATTTTTAGAAAAAAATAACTTGGCTTGTAGTCGAGCTTGAGCCAAGCCATACTCGAACTTGCGAGCTTTGAACTGAATCGAGCTCGAACTCAAACTCTAGCTGGAATCGAGCTCGAGCCTAATATAATTTCAGCGAGCCGAGCTCAAATAGCCAAGTATTCGGCTCGGCTAGGCTCGAAACCACCCCTAGTTGTAAGCACGGTAAATGAACACTTAGAAACTTTTTCGATACCTTTCCCTTAAAATACCCCCAGCCTACCCTTAAAAAAGATTAATACCGACTTTTAACAGTTGTCAAAATATTTATTAAGTGCTCATTTACTTTAGTGATACTAGATTCTTCCTATTTCGCCATTCTGTTTTATTGTCACATTAGTGTTGTTTATTATTAAAACAACGTAACTGCACATTGATGCATACTATGTATCTATACCGAATTGTTTTTTAGTCAAGGAGAGACGCCTGTCCCTAAACATGAGCCCTCCTATCGTGCATGCAAAGATAGATGTAGTCCTCCCTCTTCCTCTCTTCCTGTCCTCAAACCTCTGGTTTCTCGATTGCAAAGTTGATTCCAAATTTCCAAAGAAATCATGGTATTCATGTCAGGGCGATGCATTCATATTATACAATAAGTCTGTTTTTATAGATGAAAATTTAGAGAGAAAAGGAAAGAGGAGAGAGAGAGAATTGTGATGGGTTATCCCCGGCATCCAACCCTAACCCATCCTGAAAAAGTGGGATTGAGTTATACACTTTGATCAGGTATAAACATGTTTATATAATATTTCTACGCTGATGGAAAAACATAATATCAGAAGACCTTTAACTAATCAAAACCCTCTGGCAAATTTTGATAGATATCACCTGATTGGTTACCACTTTTATGATACTGTTTAATTGGTTAATAATTTTTCACATATCATAGAACATATTTATATAATAGTTAAGAATGATGTTGATATGGCGTGCCTCAATATGAAAAATAATCAAATAAATTCATCATTGCTTTTGCCTTTTGCTATTGGATCATTTTGCTACTATCATACTTTTGATGTTAATTTCTACCTACTTCTTATAATTTTGTTATTTAATTCAATTTAGAATTTGTATTTTCATAGTTTAAACTTCAAACCGAATTTCCTCTATTGCTATAATGGTGTGATGATGTATGACAAAAGTACAACTTAAAAAGGTCAGTGACGATTTATGAGAGGAATATTTAATTTATTATCCACAAATGCCTCTATCTATTGGCATTTGAAAAGGAAACGAATATAATATAAGCCTGAACAAAATTAATTCCAAAGCCCGAAGATGCTCTGCAATATTGCGGATGAGAGGTAGCGCCTTGGAGAATTCATTTGAACATGACCCAACAACTAAACAATGCCACCCGCATTGGATATGTATTCAAGAGATAATTGATGTGCAACAACAAGCAGAGATAATTAGTATAAAACTACCCTAAATTTATCAACTCAAGAGGAATTAGGCAAATATTTTAAGTGCTTAAAATAAATGTTTATTCAAATAATCACTTATTTTGGGCCGAGACCACATCAGTGAGTGATTATTTGTGTTTGGAAATAAGTTCGAATAAATGTTTATTTGTGTTTGAAAATACTTATACTACCCCAATTTAAAATAAGTGATTTTTCACTAAAGTTTATGAACACTTATTTTTTTAAATAAGCACTCTCAAACTTAGCCTTAATCAAACAAAACCTTACACTAAAAAGTACAAAAAAATTTCCCATTCATTGGTTTGCCCCCATTTCCACCTCTTTGACATGGTGCTGCCAATGCCAAAAAAAAAATGGTTGTCTAATAGAGGATTACTAGGCCGGCCATCACCACAGAAAGACATTGCTGATCAACAAGATGCAGAGGATACAACACACCGATGAAAAAAAAAAAACACATGAACGAGGGCATTATAAGTTTTAGAAATATCTAACATTAAACATGACTGATGAAGCAAACAATGGGGAAATACATTTGTTCTCTAAACTAGGTGACCTTAACAGTGGGACAATGTCCATAACTTTGTCTTCTTAACAGGAAGTTTGTCACAATGATGCCATTTTGTGTCTTTAGGTGGCATTTATTGGTTTGTTACTAAGGCTGCGTTCGCTTTTCGGTAAGTTATTTATTTGGGCAAGTAAATGCTTTTACCCATCTTCTTTTATTTCCCCTGTAAATAAGGCAATGATCATTTTAGCCATAAAAATCCAAAATTGAAAGGAGCATTTTTGTGCCATTCAAGTATTGGCAACCTTCCCCTAAGTGGGAAAACTATTTACCCACCTAGGAGATGGGTAACCCGGGTAAGTGATACCCAGGAAAATAAACTTTTTTGGTCCCCACATAAATATGAAAAAAGAACATGGACTTCTTAATTAATGGGAATCAAAATCCCATTGACCAACTTTCTCCCATCTCAAAATAAAAAAGAATGCCCCTAAATTTTTGGTAAGTTAATTATCAAAAAGTACTTAGTTTCTTTTCATCATCATTATCAACTAAACTTTATCCCAACTATATGGGGTTGGTACCTGAATCATGTTTCCATTTTGTTTAATGCCATTTTTTTTTGTTAAATTATGAGTGACTATATCTCTTTTTTTTTTTTCATATTTCAACCCATGTCGTTTTGTTTATACCTAACCCTTCTGGCCTCCCTTACCTTGCAACTGTAGGTGGTTTTATAAGCATGTGATCAAACAATTATGGATTTACTTTCTCTCATTTATTATTTCTTGGAGCTATCACTATGTTTCAAATGACCTCATTTCTAACCTATCCTTATTGGTTTTTCCATTCATCGATCCATCCCAGCATGCACATCTCTTCCACAGTTACTTTTTGTTTTTGATATATTGTTTCCAGACTGCCCAAGACTATTTCATACGACATTGTTGGCCTCAAAACCCTTTTATAGAGTTTTTATTTCATTCTAAGTAGTATTCACCTATCACATAAGACTTCATATGCACCCCCTCCCCCATTTTGCCCATCCTATTCTAATTCTAATTGTATATGCAATATCATTTTCAATGTCTCCTTTATTATGGATTATTGAACAATGTTTTCAACTTGTCGTTGATTTAGATAGTTGAACTATTCGAATTGTCACCCAACCATAGTTTTGGTCCAATTTTTTAAAACCCAAAATTTTGTGAAAAAACCATTGATTTGGTCAATAACCATCCAACCTAGGCAGTTGAATCGTTGACCCATTCAATCTGGTCCTAAAAATGTATATTTAAACTTCTAGAGGTCATAACTTTGTACTCGGATGTCCAATTGGGGTGATTTTGTTTTATTTTAAGTAACTTTTTTGAGATCTATGTGTTCCTAAGGAATTGAATATTTTCATCAAAAAACCTTTTTTTGCCTCAAATTGCAATTTTTAACATTTTTATAAAAAATAAATTCAAAACCAAATTAAAAATATAAGTTAAACAAAAAAATACTTATGTGTACATATATTACATGTAAAATATAATTATATATATAAAATACATGTGTACACACACATATAGATATACATATATATATGCTGATGTGGCACAATCTGACCCATTCAAACCAGTGACCTGCGATCGAGAGGCAAAAACAATTTAGCCTCTAGGTTAGTTTTTAAAACATTGTTATTGAATCAATGTCCAACTCTAAGTGTAGCTTGATTTGCACCTCTATTATTATTATTATCATCATCATCATCAGCATCATTATAATCATTAAATTTACATATATTGTATTATACTCTTAATTAGTTTAAAACTTCTTGGATGTTTCTAAGTTATTCATCCACAAATTTAATTTTGTATCTAGTCCCTCATTAGTTTCATCATCAGAACAATGTCATTAGCAAATAATTAGCACCATAGGACCTCCTCTTGACTTAGCCTAGTTTATTAAGTTTATTTGTGAAAGTTCTTTGTAGATAGGATCTCTTGACTTATCCTAATTTTTAACTTTAATGATGATCAATTAATATCAATAGAAAAGTTTCATATTTATAGCAAACCCAAGGTTCAAAATATAGCAGCAGTTTGTATCATATGATACATTATTTTCAAGGTCACTGATATCCTCTTTAATGGGGTTATTTTGACCATTAATATACAGATTTAGAGCTTGCAAAAAGACCTGTAAAGCCATTTTATGGAAATGTCCTCGAGGAGATGCTATTAAAATTAATTTTGATGCCTCAAGAAAGCGTGATGGCTCTTGTGCCATTGCTTATGTTGTGAGAAATTCTCTTTGAAGTATTTTGGAAGTTAAAGCTTGTTTTATTGATACTACCTCCATTAATGTAGCAGAAGAATGGGCAATTCTAGTTAAAGCTTGTTTTATTGAATTACAGGGACTATCCCATCATAATCGAAAGAGACTCGTTGCTGGTAATTTCGCGCCTAAAGAAGAAGATTGAAGAGCCTTGGAGACTGAGGACAATTCTAGAAGAATGCAGGAAGAGTCAAGAACATCTTAGAAGCAGTGTGGAGTATTGTCATGTATTCAGAGTAGCCAATCAAACTGTTGACTGGACGACCAAGGAAATTCTCTCCCACCCAAACGTGTATTTTTCCTTCAAATCGTACATAGCCTATCTTTTCCTTCAAACCAAATATAGCTTTAGTGGTTCAAATCTCCCTAGGGATTTAGTGTTTTATCTGTTGGGGTGATATGTGGGGCCGAGCTACCCCGGCTCCTGTAGCTTTCCTATTTCTACCAAAAAAATCCTCTTTAATGGGTATTAGCCAGTTTAAATGATAATATTCCTAGTATTATATTTTTTGGAAATATAACAATTAAAAAAAAGGAGTATGTATGTTATATTTTGAACCATTGAAGAAACCCAAATGCCTCCTCAGGCTATATTTCATTTTTTTCATTTACCAACTAATGGGATCAAATCTCATTGCCACTAGGTTTTTTTTTTTTTTTTGGGGGGGGGGGGGCGGCGGGTTGGTGATCCAATAAAAAAGATAAAGCTATATTTCATTTGAGAAAAAAAGGGCTCAAATTGAAATTTTGTCAAAATTCAATGAACCCAACCCAAAGCAGTGTGAAATGTTAACTGGGGCCGACCTAAGTTATACCCCTAAAGAACCTTCTATCAACTTTATATTTCTCTCTAATTTTCTTCCAAACTAAACCAAATTCGACCTTAATGCTGACCAAAAAGTGGTCCTGACTAGACCTGTTCATGGGCCGGGTAGCCCGACGGCCCAGCCCGGCCTGGCCCACACCCCGGCAGGGCTTGGTCATATAATTAGGCCCGCGGGTCTGATCTCGGGCTTAACACAGTAAGCCCGACTGTGTTTCGGACCGGGCTCAGGATTTGTCAAAAAAGCCCGGCCCGGCCCGACTCAATATTATATATTTTATAAAATATATAATATGTATTTTATATATTATATAAATAATATAATATTTATTAAAATATATATTTATAATTTAATATATATATATATATTATTCTTTTCTTTATAATTTCAATCTATCTCTCTTTATTCAGCTGCTTCAACATTAATAATAATAATAATATAGGCTAAATTTCGGACCCGGGCCCAGACTCAGGCTTCGGGCTTTTTATGAGGGCCAGGCTCGGGCCCAAATTGTAGGCCCGATGGTCGGGCCGGGCTCGGGCTCGGGCCTTAAAAAAAATTGTTGAACAGGTCTAGTCCTGACGTTAGTGTGTATTAACCTTAGTGGTTGAAAATACAATATCAAACAAATTCAATTCTTCACTGGACCGGGGTTTAGGATAAAATGAAATGATAAAGCTTTTAATCATCTCTTGCAAATCAAACTTCACACCATTCGCTCCGAGTTTTTCCACCAACTCATTAAAATTCATATTATTACCAAAAAAAAATAAAATAAAATAAAATTCATACGAATTTTTCTTTGCTTTGCTCCTTGAATGTCCTGAGTTCTGATCATTCCATTCCATGACGGACTTGTAATCAAATTGAAAGCTCAGCCTGGAAAAATAACTTTGAAACATTATATACTCGAGACAGTTGAGTGTTCATTCAAGGACCACTTTTTTTTCAAATCATAAAGATGCAGACCCACGTCCATTGACTCCAAATCTCCTGCACTTTCCTCAATTTTTTCTTGCATTTTCATTCAATCTGTGATACCTGCGTTTGACTATGATATAGAGAAGATATGATATCCGAAAAGCATCTCACCAATCAATTAAAATTATAAATATGGTAGTGAATTAAGTGTTAATTATCAAAATTCATAGATGGGTTTTGATTGGTCAAAACTCTTTCCATACCATATCTTTTCCGCATCATAGATTTCCCTATCCATATATAAGAGAAAGAAACTGATAATATACATGTGATGGCCTCCTAGAGTAAATGGAAGTGCAAGAAAAAAAGTGGAGGTGATTTGGCATTAAATCCAGTAGGGTGACAGGGTGATAGTGGAAAAGGGGGAAATAAAGAGGGCCCATTTAAGTGGAAGATCATGTCACGATCTCCTTGAAAAACCACAGTTTCCTCAAAGGGTTACAAATAAAATAATAGCTTACATAGCAAAGCAATATAGACCAAAAAGAGAAAAACAAAAAAAAAAAAAGGAAGGAAAAGATGTACATCCAACTTGAAGGCTACGACGAAAAAACTAAGATAACCTCAAAGTGAATTCCATACGAAAGAAGAAACGAAGAAGGTAAGAGCCAGAGGCCTAGAAGTAAGAAAACAAAAACAAGAAAAGAATTGATGGAAGAACTCCCAACAATACGTCAGAGGCATTATTTTGGGCCTATTATGTTTGATTCTTTTTGGAAGAAGCTTCACCGGTCCAGTAAGTTTTAACAGCGACAAGAATTTTTTCAGGGTTGAAGGGTCCACTCTCATGGTCCATAATCTGGCTCTTCCATCTCATTCCATCTGTTATACTCTGTATCTTCACAAGAACATCTACCGTGTCCCTGAATATCACAGTTCCTTCTGGCCTTAGAATTCTATCCATTTCCAACAGAATGTATGTAATATCACACCTGCCATTACAGAAGTAATCAGTATTGTTATGCTAAGCTTGAACCTCTTGGCAAACAAACTGATAAGTCTAAGTTCTAATACCTGTCTTGGTAAATGCTGAACACGCCGCCGGCATGGATAAGATCATATGTTCTTGGATATGTCGAGAAAGCCTCGCACCAGTCGTGATAGGTACCTATGAATCCCCTCTCATAGATCACACCTAGAGTGTCTTGATTTGTATTGGCTGGAACTACATTCATAACCCACACTGGATATTTCACAAGGGCTGCTGCAAATCCCCCCATATAAGCATTCATGTCCATTATGTTCCTGAATCGTCCTTGAGTGAGCGGTGGGATAATCCGCTTGTAGCGTGTTAACCTATCTTTCCACAGTTCATTATCCTCTTGGAATTTCTTGGCAGTGATACTTGGGATAGACCCACTTTTTATTCTGGGAGGAACGGAAAATGCCCGTTCCGGCCATTTCTCCAGTGCCCCTCCAGCAACTTCATCCGAGCTGCTTATTTCTGGTAGTGGTGTGATGCAAGGTTCCATATTTCTGTACCTATTTGCACACATATAGACAAAGGCACACAGACACATTAAGCTAAGTGGAGTGTGGATTACTCTCTAATCCGAACTGTAAAAGTCTGTAATGGACTAATGGTTGATTGTTGTATGGTAAAAAGAGTACCATGCAGTGTCTGGAGCATCTGATTTGCAGATGTGTGGCGTTTTGAAAACCCTCCTACTCTTTACACAATCGATATGGTTCAAGGGCTTTTGCCAAATTGCCAGATCATCTTTCTCAATCACTTTCTTCCAACAAATACTTTTGGCTATCTTCTCTATTGCATCTTGCTCTTGCTTTAGATCTTCTTGAGTTCTCTCCCAACCTCTCCAGTACTTCTTCCAGCGGATTGGGGGTCCAGAGAGAATCCAATAACCACCAGGCCTTAGAACTCTGTCTACTTCAATCAGGTATAACCCATCTATAGAAAACAGCTGAATTCAATACCATTTCTAAAAATTTAACAATAGAACGGAAACAGATTATACTGAGTTATCATCATAAATCCACTTTGTGACTGATGGAACAGATTACCTACCATATTGTTGCCATGGAATCAAGCAGCGTGAACAGTGGGCCATATCAAAAGCTCTTGCTGGGTAGGGCATCCTCTGTGATGCCATAACTCCAATCATGGCAGGAACTCCCCGTTCCAGTGCAAACTGAACCTGAGCTTCATGCGTATCCCTTGGTGCAAATGACATTGCTAGGATATTTCTCTTTAGCAGGTAGGCTCCCCAACTTGCAACCTCCATTATTAGACAGATAGACCCAACCAGAAACAAAAACAGACACACCTCAGCCCATATAATCAGTGGTTGTGATTCCTACACTCAAAACTCAATTTAGAAAAAAAATGAAACAGAAATAGAGCATGGATTAACATTTTCTTACTCCACATCCTGTATCGAGTGCAGTCCTGATTGTTCCACTGGTAAGAGGGATGAGCTTGTTTATGTCATCAATATAAGCGTCTGCGCCGCGAGGGAACATGGTGCCTCCACCAGGGAATCTGAACCGGTTGCCCTCAACCTGAATCCAATTCTGAACGGCCTTTTCAATACTCAACTCTTTGTGAGGAATGTTATCGTACCAAGCGTAGTCCCTGCTCTGAGGCCATTTGAAAGGGTTCTTGTATTTGGGGGGAGCAGGAATCAAGCAACGGAGAAGTTCCTCCTTGGTGGGACAATGCCTCTCCCTGTATTTCAACATGTTCCGATCAAATTTCCTTCCCCTTACAGGATCTTGGCAAGGAGTGTACTCACTGTACGTCATGTCACAAGGAGGGAATTTCTCAATCCCGTCGGTTTCATTGATCCCCACTTGGTGATGAGCTTCAAAATCGAGGGAGACAGTGGACAACGACGACGACGATCGTACTTTGCCTGCTGTATTGGATTCACCATCACACCCCACTTTTGTGTAAACATCTGAACTCTTTAGAGGGGGGGAAGTGGTATTCTGCCAAGCTCCTAAGACGTAGGACAGGACGCAGAGGCCACTCACACACAAGATCCAAGTGAGGCGCTTCCTCTTTGATTCTAGCTGACTATACTTGGGAGATCCACTGTACTCCTTCGCCATCTAATCTGCTGCAAATATGTGTTCTGGTTAAGTGGATATGGAGGTGGAAGGAAAGAATTTGCAAGACAACAGAGATGATGTTTTTTAAGTTTGGATTTAAGAAGAGGAGCGAAAAAATGGCTTTTCATTAATTTCTCTTCACAAGAAGACGCAAAGAACCTGACTAACAGAGAGCGACATATATATAAGCAATAAAGACGAGGAAACAAAAAACAGCTAATGTAATACCATTAGAAACAGAGAAAGAATGGCAGAAATACAGAGAGAAAAATAAATACTCGAAAACCCATATGAGATCATCACTTCAGATAGAAAATAAGCACGTAAGAATGCGAGACAGACGTAGAACAGAGAACATCCAAGGCAGTCTGCGTTGATTTTTTTTTTTTTTTCCAATCAGAAAACCCATTTCAAGGAGAAGATTCACCAACACTCACCCTAAATCAGTTACAGCAAAAACGTTAGGAACTAAAATGTGCAATGGCTCAAAAACTCAAATGTAAAAACTAAAACCATCAAGAAGAATCCAAAAATAAGCTCTCTTTTCCCTCTCTAAGACCAGAAAATCTCCCTGAAATACGCCATCTTAGAGAAAACCACACAAAACCCACTGAAACACCAATAGAAAGCAAGAGTCTCAATCCCAGAAAAATACGCAAGGCACTCCCACCACAAAAGCGACATAATCTGTAATGATAGCAACTAGCCCAGGAAAAAAAAAAAAAGAAAAAAAGATCATACCTTTGGGGGATTCCTACCTCTTTCTGTTAATTTCCCAGCTCACTCCACTAATATCCTATATCCTACAGTAAAAAGAAGACAAACATAAAAGAAATGCTTCGTTTTTCAGATTCTCTTTTATCCTTCAGAAACCGTGAAGCTCCCAGGAAAAGTAGGAACCAGAAACAGCAACCCCCATGACCAGGAAGAGAAGTTTTATTTGTGGAGAAGACCAGGAAGAGAAGGTTATACAACTCCGGAACACGGTGGTGGTGGTGGTGGTGGTGACAAAATGATAATGTGTGTCATCCAGGTACCGTAAAAGAATAGCTGGGTCGGGGATGGTAATTGGTGGCTGGCTGGCTGGTGAGATCTGGTAACGTTATTCTGGGTTGGGTTTTTTTTTTTTTAGACTTTTTTTATTTATCTATTTTAAAATTATTTTTCCATTGAAGATTGAAAGACCAGAGTGTGGATTTGGTCTAAAACAACAGGGGCTCTTGCCTCTTGTGCTCTCGGCAGGGGGCGAGAAAGGAGTATTCCCAGGAGACTGACCAGCCTCAAAAAGCTGCCCTCTTCTCAATCACCTTTTCATTTTTATTACTATTTTTAATAATCATTTCTTGACTCATAATTCATGAATATCGCCAAAGGAAAAGAAAAGAAAAGCCGAATTAACAGACTGGAATCTGGAATGGCATTTTCTGTGGATTTTTATGGAGGAAATTACCGGATAACCCGGAGCGGAGAGGGCAAGGAATTAATATTTTCCGGGCTTTTTTGGATAATTTGGATATAGGTATCATGTACTTGGGATAATGCCCTCGACTTTCTATTTTTCGTCAGAGAGATGGTGTCCAAACTTTCAAATGTACCAATTAATACCTGAAGTTTCAAAAATATACATTTAGATCCAACTCCGGTAAATTATCTTAATGGTGAGAGGTAAAATTACAAAATTGTTCATGTTTTGTGTTTTAATTCTCGTTTTCTCACTCTTCATTTTCTTCTATCTTCAAACTTGATCTTCACAAAGTTGTGTTCATATTATTTTTACAGCTTTTTCTTCAACTATGTATTGAGAATATCTCTTCATGAATAAAACTATACAATTATGGAAATGTAAGTTGAGATATCCTGCCAATAATACATGTTTCAAACTTCCTATACCACTATTAATTTGAGCTGACACGGGGCCCACCATAAAAGTGGTAGGGTGTTTGAACGTGTTTAGTTGGCAAATGATCCAAACTCCAAGATGTTCTCAATACAAGGCTGAAAGAGGCTGTGGGAACGAAATTAACACAAATTCGTGAAAACTGAATCCTCCCTCTTGAATTTGAGTTCACATCTTCGCCCTACAAGAATTCAAATCAGCCTCCCACAAGGCTGAAAGAGGCTGTGGTAAAATCAGTCTCAAAACACATTTCCGCCATGTATTGGGAACATCTCCCGATGATAATATCAGAAATGATAATGTCATCATCGGGAGATATTCCCAATACACAACAGGGATGTATTGTGAGACATTGTGGGGTGCTGATTTTATTTCGCCCCACAACGTCCCACAGCACATTCCTGCTGTTCATTGGAAACATCTCATCATCGGGAATGGTATTATCATGGAGAGATATTTCTAATATACAGCTAGGAATGTTGTGTTGAACTCCTTGAATTTAGCCTTTAGCAATTCCAATTTGCATTTAAAAGTAGAAAAAAAGAAGAAGAATAAATAAAAAGAAGGTAAAAACATGGACATTTGCATAATTTTACCACTCAAGTATAATTTAACAGAATTGGACTTAAATATAAATATTTGGAAGTTTAGGTACCAAAATAAAACATTTTAAAATTCAACTACTAAAATGAAACTATCTCATAGTACAGGTATCTATTAATAATTTACTTTTTTTTACCAATATAAGGACAACCGTCAGACAAGAATCTACATGCGCCAACGGCTTTATATTAGCACATTGGATTGGAAGCGGTGCTCTTTGATTTTTTTTTAATCCAACGGTCGATGATTTTTGACTGGATGGAGGATGACTGATCCGGCTGAAAAGGTTTTCATGTGGTGGTCCACCATCCACATGGATGAGAATATGAGATGAGACGCCTAAACCATTGACCCATTTATTCGAATCTTCAACAAAATATCGGCACCGGCTGGAGAACATGCGTCCGATCAAATGCATTTTGCACTAAATTTTTGGGCTTTGCTTGGAGTTGGAGAGATAAGGGGATAGAGTTTAGGTTTAGGGTTTGAGATCGGATTAGCAGTTAATTTCTTAACTGCCGTTTATCATTGATTCCACAGCCATTGTGTTCGGTGAATTTAAATTATTAAGGTTAGGGTTTAAGATTTAAAATTTAAATTTATAAACCAATAGGTATCGACCACGATGGAAACGAACTAAATCCTATTAATTAATTTTCAGCCATTCGATTGGAATGCGTGGGCCCTAATACCCGCTGGTATTGGATTTGGTGGGATTGGAACTTGATTCTTAACACTTAGGTTTTATTTGATTGCAATGCAAATAAATTTGTATTGATGTAAAACTATGATAGTGCAAATGATTTGTGTAAATTCTGATTTATTTTTGTTTCAAATTTTAGCTTAGGCTCAGTTTGGAAGGAGTATAAATATAAATTTGTAGAGTGTAAAACTATATATTTTATATTATTTTGTATGAATTTGTACTATATATATTTGTATTTGTACTCCTTCCAAATTGAGCCTTATTTTGTTTGATTGCTGTAAACATGAAGTAAATTAAGACACGAAACAGAATAAAGTAAATTTCAAAACAAAATTAAACAAGAATTTGCATTTTTTTTTATATTTGCACTCCCATGCATTTGTACTATTGCAAATAAATTTGCACACAGCCTCAATAATAGGAAAAAGAATAATGAAAACTGGGAAGTATGGATTTTAACCAATCATGAAAGGACACGCCATTGTTTCTTTTAAAATTAAAAACACCAGCGATGTATATAATAACACACTCCTACATATTATTTGAATGCTGGCGTGGCCCCGCTTTATTAGGAGCCTGTTTGGAGGGGCTTATGTGTTAATTGAACTGTGTTAAGTGAGAGGCTTTGGAATAGGGGTGCAATTTGAGCAGGAACCCAATCCTAAAAATTGGGCTTAAAGCGCAAGATTGAGGTCAAGTTTGAATTAAAATTTGATGTACTTGGGTGGGGCTTAGGCCCCGGGACGAGTTTAGGTTGGCCAATCAACCTACACTAAAAATTAATATACATGAATGTGTATAAAATGTATATATAGTTTATTAAAAATTATGCATATGCTTGTATGTACGCAAATGTATGGATATAATCAGGTAGGGGCTCGGGTTAGGATAAGGCCGAGTCGGGCTTGGACCAGGTTTGGGCTAAACCTAGCCTGAAAAAAAAATTAAAAAAAAAGAAAACTTTTGAGCATAAGCTCATCCTGAGGACCGAAAATCCCAAACTCAATCCATATAAAATTATATGTTGAGACGGTTCCAACTCGTGTTGGACCTACCCAAGTTGCACCCATACTTTGGAGAGACTACCAGAACTAGCTTTACAAAAAAGTCGATTTCTCAGCTCAATGACCACATTTTTTTGGTTTTTCAAGGTTTATAACAAACACAGCTTTCTGACTCTCCATGTACCTTGTAACACTAGAAGTTGTTGTGGAAAAGCTCTTCCAAACAAGCACTAGATCACAAAAGAATACAGCTACGGTAATCACAGCAGATTTGATTTCCCACTAAAGGCGCTTTTCCTGTCAGACCGGAATCTATTCAACACCTCTATCCCACCTCGTATGTAATATAGGTGATAGGCAAGGTTCAAAGTATCAATATGATATGAGTTTTGGTCGTATCGTTTTGATACTTAGAAACGGCTGAAATTTTATTTATTTTTAGTTTTTTTTCATATTTTGGTCTTTTGGGAAGCTTTTAGAATACTTTTTATTATTAACAAAAATTGGGGGTCCGAAACACCTGGACCGTATCTTTTTCAAAAGATACAATACGATACACCCCGTATCAGGCGTATCGTATTGATACTTTGAACCATGGTGATAGGTGCTTTGATCTCTTACAAACCAAAATTCTGCTCACATTATATTCAACTGCAAATTGAGAATTTTTCCTGTACATGTATTAAATTCAAAACAAGATTCTCTATTTTATATATCATTGCATATTGACAACATCTCCTTATCAACTTAACATAAAAATATTCTTAATATGCAGTTGCATGCATGAGAGTTGAGAGAGCGACTGAGTGAGAGAGGAGTGGAGCTTTGAAGGAAATGGGATAAGCAAAATGACATATTTGACTTCAGATTATATCATATAACAATTAAAAAAGGCAAAAAAGAAAAAAGAAAAGAAAAGAAAAGGTGCATGATACTATAATGTTGGATAGATATCACCGCCCCCATTACAAACTTCCTCCAGAAAAGTTGAAGAAAATAAATAAAAAATGGGGAGAAGGTGATCACGTTGTGTGTCAGGGGCTGGTGTTCAAATCGAATACAGATCTGGGGGTTCCCGTCTTCCCGAGTGTTGAATGAATCGCGTTTTGTCAGGTGCAGAGCATAATATGCTCTTGGTAATTGGTAATAACACTAGACAACACAACACCCTCTCGGTGTCCCACTCACTCTAGGGGCACACATAAACCAAGAGAGGATTTTATAAAAATGAAAGGTGCACACTAGGGGTTGAACCGTTAACCCACCATGGGCGAAGATGGTTGAACTGTTAACCATTGACCTAGGAGTGTAAATAGCAGCTTAACCTGATTCCTCTAGTGTTGGGTTAGGGCTTCAGTACTTCAGCTTGAGTCGTCCTCAATAACCATTGCTGCCGAGTGTTTAGGCTATGTACTTGAAACGCCTGTATATGTCTTAGTAGGCGCTACTAGCCACGGAGAAAACTTTTAATAGCTCTTGCCTCTTGGGTTTTCATGACAAACAAAAGACTCTGATTAGTAATTAATAACAGAAAAAGGAACCAAAAATGAAAAGAGAAATCATACATCGCTGCTAGGTTAAGTTGGTAGGGGGTTAAACCCTATAGGGTTGGGGTGGTTTTAACTTTTAAGAATGGCATTTTTGTTAAGTTAGGTCAGGGCGGGTTCAGAACTTCAGATGGAGGCATAGAAGCGAACAAATTGGCATCGATACATTGACCCAACCCTTTTTATATACAATGTAAATAATGCTATGCTGATAATTTCTTTGAATTAATTGTTTTAGTATATGTAATACTAGAACTTGAAAAATATGACCCATTGAGAGGGTGTTTTAATAAAATGCAAAAAATAGGATAGTTTTAATAAATCTATGCAAAATAGGTCCTCTCTCAATTCCCCCCAACCCTTCCCTACCATGAAGCAAAAAATAAATAAATAAATAAAGAATAAAGAATAAATAAAATAAAATAAAAATAAAAAAAGCAACCCTTCCCTTCCTCTCTGCCCAACGTGGAAACTACCTTTAGAGGCTCAATTTGGTGGCAATATGGCATATTATAGCTGTGAACAAAATAAAGTTAGAACCCCGTTAATCTGGAACTAACTACCAATAGAAGAAAGTAGAGACCTAAATGATTTATTTTACAAAAAACAAAACAGAAGATAGCTCTGATTCAACCACGTATGAATCCACTAGTAACAAGGTTAAACACTTTTTGTGAATCACCTGGATGAAAATTGGGAAATGGCTCTTACCAATTACCAGTTACCACGTACGAGTAGCAGTAACACAGTAAAAGTGTCTACATCCTGCATCGGGACTTACCTTCCCAGAAATTAATACAAATATACAGACTACAGTATATCAATTATTGTTTTGACTCAGAGAAACCACTACATAACGTACAAAGACCAACCACTGACACACCTTAGTGCTCTACTCCGTACCGTGGCACCTCAAATTTAAACAAGGGCCCATATGGACATACCGGGATCAACACACAAATCGCCTGGAGTCGCTGCTTGATGACCAGAACCACAAACCATTTCCAAATCCCAAAAGCTATCACTCACTTTGACCACCCCAAAAAATTACCTGCAAAACTTTTGAAACTTTTCTTCAGGGTGCAAAAGCCAAAAGGTTGGATTAATTTTCTCTATGCGCCTTTGGAAATAAACGGAATCTCAGATTCTCAAGCACCCATTTGACTGAGGTTTGTGGTGAAAGTCCGATGTGTGCACATAAATAAAACTTTCATAGCTTTGTTGACGAGATGAGCTGCGCAATTAACTCAAGGTTCATTGTCTATCAGTTTCTGAAATCTTTGTGCAATTCCTTGGTTGTGACTACATTCATACACTTCAACCAGTGACCTTACTGTCTTGCATATCATATCTTTCTTTTGCTTGGAAGATATGGAAGTATCCATTTCAATTGGAGAAGCTTCCATCCCTGGCTGATTTCTGGCCTCTTCTAATGATGAGCATAGTGATTTGAGCCATGCCTCCAAAAAAGACGCTTTCTATGAGAAACACGAGAAAAGAAAATGCTGGCTTACAAAATGTTTGGAAAGGACGAAGTACGCGGGGGGGAGGGGGGGATAGTTGCTCATTGAACATATAGAACACTTGATCAACTGAAAAAAAAAACAGAAGTAAACATATATGATATGAACAACAGGAAAAGTGGAAGGTTTCTTGATTCACCAAAATGCCCCATTTCAAAACAATTAGAAATTGTCAAATATTATAAGATGCTTCCTCTAGCATGATATCATTAATTATGGAAATATTTATGAATAATTTGGGAAGCATTCAGGGTTGAAATCACAAAAAACTGTGGATAAGTGCATCCACCAACCTGGTTTTCATTTTGTTGTTTTGAAATCCAACCATTTAGATGTCCTGACTTCCTTGATCTTCAAAATGAAAAAGAAAAGAAACTTTCTAAAACAGAAAGCTGGTTTTCATTTAAAGACTTAAATGAAGGGGCCAATGCTTGGTGCAATGGTAAAATCCCCATCTGACAAGCATGAGAATGTGGGTTTGAGTCTGAGAACAGCCAAGTCATGCAAGAAAATGCTTAAGTAAGGTATTTACAGATCGAGCTCTCCTGAGGCCCTGTATGCAAGAAAATGCTGTTGTTGTGTATCCTGCTAATACACTCAAGTTGATGCCTATATAAGGGATGATGTGTATCCTGTCTTTGCACTGCCAAACTTTAATTTTCTCTTCAAGTTGAAGTGCAATGCTTCCAAGGATGGTATGGGTGCAATGTTCATCCAGCTCAAGAGACGTGAGTTGGGGAAATTCTATTCCAGTTTTCCCTCATTCTCTTATCTTCACTCAACTCACGTTATCCCTTCTGTAACTTAATAACTATGGCAGGTAGATAACAACTTGGTATTAGAGCAAGTTTCTTATTGAAATGAAGGGGAAAAACTAATTGACTGCAGTAGTGAATGATGCAATCATGGTACACAAATGACATCACCACTGACCTGCCACCAGAATAGATATTGGTCTTCCCTGGACCAGTCAGGCTATTCGCATGGTCTGAGGTGATGCAGACCTGGTTAGAGACTCTAATGAGGTTTCAAGAACTTCTTCCCTCATCTCCTTAGTGTGGATACCAGTGGCATCCCTCAAGGCCCAAGCCCACACTTTTCATCTGAGGCCAAATAATGGATCTTCCCCACCCATCAAATATGTATGTGTTAGGAAGACACGTAGTATATAGCATGGGACACACAACTAGGGGTGTCCATAAAAACCCGAAAAGCCAAACCGAACCGAATCGGAAAATGCGGTTAACTGAACCGATCAGTTCAATATTTTTGAAAAACCAAAGGACCGGTTCGGTTTTCGATTAACCTTTAACCTAAAAAAATCGTCGATTAACCGAACCGACCGGTATATATTTATATGTATATTATATATATTTAATATACGTCACATATTATATATAAATATATACATATATATTTATATAATATATAAATATATATATATATATATCAAATTATCAATATTAAAACCAAAAACCAAAGAACAGAAACTGATCAATCGGTTAACCAGTGGGACCGGTTCAGTTTGAAAAAAATAGCTATGGTTCAGTTAACTGAACCATGAACACCCCTACACAACTTAAACAAAATAGACAATTCATCTTTAATTAAATGACAAACGACTAAACTACCCTTATGCTCAGCCTGGAGTGTTGAGCATTCTGGTGCTGGAAACTCCAATCAAAAAGGAAGGAGAAGAAGGAAAAGGAACAGAAGGAGGGACAGGGGAGAAAACTTCAACGAAGAGACCTCTGAGAGAGGAGGAGAAAGGGGGTGGAAAACGAAATAGGGTTTACAATAGAAAAAGAAGCCTAAAGATTCTTCATAGAGATTAGGAGGGGAACAAGGGGGAGAAGGTGAAGGACCAGTGATTGGGGAAAGGAACAGAGAGAAATATAAAGAAGAACAGATACAAAAGGATCATGAAGCTGAGGAAATAATACAAAATGGGAAGGTAAATATTAATAAACTGGTGGAGAGGGAGGTGGAGGTCGGAAAGTCTCTCGAGCTAGTCTTCTGGGGAGGGGAAGGCTTTGCGAAAATAGCATTTGAAAAGTTAGAAAAAAAAAAGAAAAAAAGAGGAGATGAAGACGAGGGAAGAATATTTAGAAAAAATAAAGGGGTGAGATGAGGAGGGAGGAGAAGAGGAAGGGTTGGACGAGCTCGAGTAATTTGGGGGTAGGGGGTGGAAGATGAGGATTCTTAGTTGGAATGTAAGAGTGTTGAGGGATGGAAGGAGGAGGGAGATAGGGGGAGAGGGAGAAGATGTGGGAGGAATTTTAGAGAGAGTTATAGTAATTTTACCACAAAGAAAGTCTATATGATGGAAACTGTCTTATTTGCTTGGTCTATCTTGGAGTTACTTTTGGTTTGGTTTATTTTAGTAGGATTGGTTGGTGAGCACTTAAAATTGTTTTAGGATTTATACAGTATTTGAATGCTCTTTTGGGTTATATATGAGTTTGTCTTGGCCCTTGTGCAACCAAGAGTTGTTTCTGATTAATTTTCCAATTGAAATTGGAGTATGTAAAGGGAAATCCAAGCCCTTATTATGATTATATAAATAGTTATTATAATCAGAATTTTAACAATTGAATTTGAAGAAAAAAGTATTGATTTATTAAATTGTGATTTTGTAAGCTTGCTCAAGGTATGTCTCTCCTATCGTTGCACTACTAGTTTACTGTTTTATCCTATCACAGTGTCAAGCAAGCTGTACTTCTCATCTTTCATTTCTTTCTATCTCAGATATCTTTCTACTTAATTCTACATTCCCATGCTATATACTAGTCCCCCACAATACATGCTAGGTTTAAACTCCCATGTCCATGCAAAACTGGTGACGATAGTATTTAATCTTCTTTCATATTGAATTGCTACAAGTTTCGATCTCACATTACAAGTACCTTGTGTTCTTAGAATCGAAATATTATACCTAAAAGTTTGCAAGTAATTAAATTTCTGATGCAATCTTGCAAGAAGTGCATCCATTTATATATTAGAATCTAATCTTCAAACTTGTAGTTAATTCTTGGGATGGCAGAATTTGAAAGGTTCAGACCCCTCTTTCCAAATTAAAGGCTGGTAACATGTCCACCTCTGAAATCAGTGATTAGATGCTGGTTTGAAATACTTACTTTGACAAGAAAGTCTTTTAGACTCTCATGGTCAGAACATGAAGCCAACTCAAGTACATGCAGAGTAGTTGAGGTCAACTGTAAAAGACCAACAAATTAGTCAGACCAAAAACTATGGTCATGAAGAAAACCTCTACATATTATTTCTTCACTGCAATTGGCTTGCATAACCTGACCTGCTTCTCAAGTGCAGCCTTATATTTGAAATCTGATGGTGTTGAAAATTGGTACGAGTTTAGACTTTCAATCATGTGCTCCAGACCTTGAACAACATCTGAGAATGACCTTCCATAATCTGCAGAAGTGGCAATCAGAATAAAATGTGGCATTATCATTTAAGGTGCATGTGGAGAATAAACCATGATGCTGTATCTAAGGTTTGATATCGTAAAATCAATAAGGCAGACCACATAACTAACATACTGACTCCAAACTTCTGCATATCATGAAAGAAATTAAGTTCAAAATCAAAATTCAAGATTGATGTCATAGCAAAACGAAAAACATTCAACGATGTTGTAAGGAATTGAGACTATAGGATGTGGTGGAGTGCTGCAAGGAATCATGGGGTAACATTGTAATTTCCAGTCAAAGCTTCTTAAGTAATAAAAATAAGGAATAAAGATAAAGAAATTCTATTCCAGTTTTCCCCCATTCTCTTATCTTCACTCAACTCACGTTATCCCTTCTGTAACTTAATAACTATGGCAGGTAGATAACAACTTGGTATTAGAGCAAGTTTCTTATTGAAATGAAGGGGAAAAACTGATTGACTACAGTAGTGAATGATGCAATCATGGTACACAAATGACATCACCACTGACCTGCCACCAGAATAGATATTGGTCTTCCCTGGACCAGTCAGGCTATTCGCATGGTCTGAGGTGATGCAGACCTGGTTAGAGACTCTAATGAGGTTTCGAGAACTTCTTCCCTCATCTCCTTTGTGTGGATACCAGTGGCATCCCTCAAGGCCCAAGCCCACACTTTTCATCTGAGGCCAAATAGTGGATCTTCCCCACCCATCAAATATGTATGTGTTAGGAAGACACGTAGGCCAAGTTAGGTAAGGTCTCACCCATCAAATATGAATGGGCAGATCTGATTTCTCCCTTTCGAAGTAGCCCCTGAGATCAGCAGCTTCTCACCACTCTCTTCTCCTTCATGATCATTGGCTTGAAGTAACAGCAATTGATAATTATCACAAAAATGACCTGGACCAAATTTTTTGTCACAGTTATAGCAAAGACCACGTTCTCTATGAGATTGCATCTCAGCCCAAGATAGTTTCTTGCGTGGTAGAGAAGTAATCGGTTCTGCTCTCTTATTAGATCCTGAATTGGTCCTGAGGAGACTTAAGTATTGGTCCTGCTAGTCAAGAAACCATTTATAATTGGTTGAGCCTTTCTTTGTGAAGTCGGGCTAGACTTGCCACGACCATAACAATCATTGGCTGTAAAGCCTTCAATATGAATATCTTTCTGCAACCCTCCAACGAAACAACCTAATAAGGCCTTCTCTGGCCATCCATACACCCAAGATGCCAATCGTTCTAAGCTTGGACAAAGTTACATCAAAATCTTTGAAGCCTGTCAGTCCAAACTTTGCACACAAGGATTCGATAAAGTCCATTCAAGATAGTTGAGGATGATGACACCTATACCATTGGAACTGTAGTATGGCTTCTCCCTCTAAGTATACTAAGGCCATTGACACTTGATGCCCTGGTACCTTGTTATATTTGAAATATTTTTCTGC